AGAATTACAAGAACTGCCCCAAACATAAGAAATCTGAAAAAAAACCCGCTTACAGACCGATAGTCAAAAAGAAAGTTTATGCCCTACGTGCCGCTTGAAGATCGTTTAGGAATTATAGAACTGCCCCAAACATACAAAAATGTGTTTCCCTGCCATCGGGTTGCCCTACGTGCCGCTTACAGACCGACAGTAACTATTCAAAAAGAAAGTTCATGCCCTACGTGCCGCTTGAAGATCGTATATATAAAAAGCCAATTTTACGACTCTACAGAAAGAGAACAACGAAATCAAGTATTTACAGCGTATTTTCAAACTGCCATCTTTGGACTTCCAATTCTGAGAACTGCCCCAAACGTACAAAAATCTGTTCCCTGCCTGATGGAATTGCCCTACGTGCCGCTTACACACCGATACCCACGAAAAAAAGCAAGGCTGTTGTTAGATAAACGCTTCTAAAAGTACCAGCGAGACTAAGTTATTCACGCACTCTTTTGTCTATGATCGTCTCCACGATTCGTGTAGAGGTGTATTGCAGACTTTGCCTGATAATACAGGTAAACTTGCTAAACCTCCATGTCATAGCATTGTTTTTTGTACTCTCTCGCTATCAAAAACCGCCACGCTTTGAGTTGGCAAAACCCCGCCTCTACACGAATCGTGGAGCCGATGATACACTCGGAAGCAAGATATTTTGAAGTGACTGTTGTTAGAGCATTTTTACGAAGATTTGAGAATATAGATGAATTTAGCTCAAGTCATGCTTTCACGCAATTTGGCATTATTTCAAAAGCAACTAATAGGAGTAGAACATGTTTGAAAAACACATTCTGGGATAACAAGTTCGATTTTAAAAAGGTGGGACAAATAACACACCTGGACACTGGCGACACAGTCTCAAAATTATTGCGACACTCATTGACCCTTTTACGAAAATCTGCTTGGTCACTCGTTATGAAATTTGGCAGCGTTCCAAAACGCATGCCACTTGGCAGCAATCCAATTCTAAAGATCAGTGTATTTCATCATAATTTTTACGTCTGCGCCCTCCTCGTTTGCCATAATCCAACTATCAGAGGGTTAATGGGTAAACAACGAATTCGTTATATATTACGTAGTGACTAGCGACCCTACGGGTCGCTAGCAAGTGGGTCGGGGCAGATACATATAAGGGCTTAGGTTTGACTAAAAATATTTCTAAATAAGTTTCCTGTTCCTTTCCTGAGAACATTTTTGCGAAGAGCATTCTACAAAAGGAGAATTGCTCGAAGAAGCGATAATTTCCACAAATCATTCAGCATTTCTCGAATGATTTTTATCTCGTTTACACGCTTTTTATGCAAATTTCCCTCCTCTCAGAAACATTCAGATACCCCCCTCCCACTTTTCTACCCTTTCAAAGAGAATTTGCTCTTTCAGTTCTTCTCAGCAAGTTCCATAAAAGATCGTCAAGTAAGTAGCAGAACATATGTTTTGAAAGTAGAAATACACCATAAAAATTATGTGTATTACAAAAAACACTTTTCTCTCAGAATCAGTTCCGACAGCAACGAAATCAGTAGTCTAAGAACTTTGTCAAAGAATCTTTCAATTTTTTCGCCAAAGGAATATGAAGCTTTATTACTACGAAAGGGAGCCACCCAGAGACCGTCAATCATAAGAACTGCACAAACGTGTAAAAGCTTCTTTCCCTTTCCGATCAAATTGCCCTACGTGCCGTTTACAAACCAATTATCTATCTGGAAGAAAGTTCATGCCCTACGTGCCGCTTGAAGACCGGTAAAAAAATACAAGAACTGCTATAACATACAAAAATCGGTTTCCCTGCCCGATTGGGTTGCCCTACGTGCCGCTTACAGACCGATAGCAACTATTCAAAAAGAAAGTTCATGCCCTACGTGCCGCTTACAGACCGAGAGTAATTATTCAGAAAGAAAGTTCATGCCCTACGTGCCGCTTGAAGACCGGTAAGAAATTACAAGAACTGCCATAACATAAAAAATCTGTTTCTCTTCCCGATTGGGTTGCCCTACGTGCCGCCTACAGACCGATAGCAATTATTCAAAAAGAAAGTTCATGCCCTACGTGCCGCTTGAAGACCGTTAAAAAATTACAAGAACTGCTATAACATACAAAAATCTGTTTCCCTGCCCGATCGGGTTGCCCTACGTGCCGCTTACAGACCGAGAGTAATTATTCAGAAAGAAAGTTCATGCCCTACGTGCCGCTTGAAGACCGTTAAAAAATTACAAGAACTGCTATAACATACAAAAATTTGTTTCCCTGCCCGATCGGGTTGCCCTATGTGCCGCTTACAGAACGATGGTAACTATTTAAAAGAAAGTTTATTCCCTACGTGCCGTTTGAAGACCGGTAAGAAATTACAAGCTGCCATAACATAAAAAATCTGTTTCCCTGCCCGATCGGGTTGCCCTACGTGCCGCTTACAGACCGAGAGTAATTATTCAGAAAGAAAGTTTTTGCCCTATGTGCCGCTTGAAGACCGTTTAAGAATTACAAGAACTGCCCCAAACATGCGAAAATCTGAAAAAAAAATTCCGCTTACACACCGATAGTCAAAAAGAAAGTTACAAGAACTGCCCCAAACATAAGAGAATCTGAAGAAAAAATTCCGCTTACACACCGATAGTCAAAAAGAAAGTTTATGCCCTACGTGCCGCTTACACACCGATACCCAGTTGAAAGCACCAGCGGGACCCAGTTACACAAGCAAAAGCAAGGCTATTGTTAGATAAACGCTTCTAAAAGTAAAAGCGAGACTAAGTTACTCACGCCTCTCTTGTCTACAGCGGAAGCAAGATAATCCTAAAGTGACTGTTGTTAGAGCATTTTTACGAAGATTTGAGAATATGGATGAATTTAGCTCAAGTCACGCTTTCACGCAATTTGGCATTATTTCAAAAGCAACTAATAGGAGTAGAACATGTTTGAAAGACACATTCTGGGATAAAAAGTTCGATTTTAAAAAGCTGGTACAAATAACACACCCGGACACTGGCGACACAGTCTCAAAATCACTGCGACACTCATGATTGCCTTTCGAAATACGTGTGACCCTTTTACGAAAATATGCTTGGTCACTCGTTTTGAAATTTGGCAGCGTTCCAAAACGCATGCCACTTGGCAGCAATCCAAATCCAAAGATCAGTGTATTTCATCATAATTTTTACGTCTGCGCCCTCCTCATTTGCCATGAACCAATAATCCGGCGGAATGATGAGTCAGCACGAATTCGTTATATATTACGTAGTGATTTGGACGAGCGTACGGCTCCCCGACATGGTTAGAAACGTAGAGTCGTTGCGAAACCCTCATGTTTATAGCATTGCCGCAAGCCGCCTCTGACGGTGGGAGGGAGACCGCGAGCTCGTCCGAGCGCATGTAGGAATGGCTTGCGCGCACGGGTTTAGGAGCAGTTTTCTAGGCAGGGGCAGGATGTAATGCGCTCGGACCTGCTCTGTTCTGATGTTTGGGATGCAGACAACCTTTCATATCAAAATTTCGAGATGTTTGGTTTTGCCGAGCCACTGCCTTGCCAGTTGATTCAAATGGTAAGGGTGTCCCAAAAAAAAAATCCATGCGCCAACTTCTGTATGCATCGAAGCAGCACAAATCCCGTTCACTTTTTTACTGAGTGAGTGTCAAAGGTGGGAATTTGATGCACGTTGTCAGGATACAGGACAAAGGCTGTAGAATAAAACTGGGGCAACGGTGTACTTGGAGCATGGACCTTTGAACAACATCAACATCTGAGAAGCTCCAACTCGTCGAGACATTACCTTACAGCTTTGTAGGGCCTCGGGCATAGTTCACGCAATTTCGTGCTTCCCGAATCTCCTGATAAGACAGCTGTTACGAGTCCATTCCATATCAATCACTTTGCATTGGGTTGTAGTATTAGGGTGATCGGGAAGTAATAGGACACTTCCATTTATTACAATTTTGATGAATTTTTTTCTGATGAACGATAAACAACCAGCAGTAAAGATACATTTGTATAAAGTGGTCTTCGCATGTTATCCTGGCAGCAACTTGCAGCTAGTATCCTACAATCCTTCGCGCCGCGCTTCAAGACAGTTCGACAGACTTTCTTGGAGGCCATCCGAATTTTTCCGAATATGACATACCATTCGAAATTTCCAGTCTTTCTAATGATCGCTTGAATCTGCAGAAATTCTTCATTTTGTATCAAAAAGGCATTATCGGTGAAGTGCATAATTTTGCGCAGATTTTGAGACTAGAAAACTTGTTTGGCCCACAACTTTCTGAAGTTTCCTCGAGGTAATTGCGTACGTATGGATAGAGCGAAAAAGCTCTACCAGATGTAATTAGCCAAAGGTGAGCCCATTCCATCACCTCGATGAGAGAATAAATAATATGACACCTAATATTCAATGCTATATCTTCTGTTGCAAGCTTTGGGATCATCAGGCTACTGTGAATTCGGTGACAATCCCCTAACACATTGCAGCACATATATTTTTGACAGCCTCCTTGTTTTACTGCAGCGTTGCTGCTTCAAGTTCGAAATTACTTGAAGTGACGAGCTTAGATTTTGAGCACTTGTAAACACGACGCCATGCGACAGTGCCTGTCTGTAAACTCCGATCAGAAGATGTTAATGTGTACTAACATCTCCCAAAACTTGGACATGCAAGTGATTTTTCTGTTTGAGAAAACTACATTTATTCTTTAGGTGTCCCATTACTTCCCGATCACAATAACAGGTCACGATTAGTCGTGTCAGAAACTATCAAAATCGAAATGCAGGGGGAGTGAAATGCAGTGGATTCGTAACAATTGTCTTGATGGGAGAACTAAACGAAGATCCCCTAACGCACTGCAGAGATCGCGCAAAATATGCCTCAGGGCCTAACTTGCTCCATGATTAGTGAGCTCTTAGTACGTTTCATACTCTGAACTGCACTTGTAATGATCTGCATTTTGTCAGTCATTCAGGCACATGCGATAAAATAGTTCAATCATGCAAAAGTAGCAAATGCAGCTTACAACAGTGGAGCCAAATGATTGCGTTCATATTGGACGATAATGATATAAGCGAAATGTAAACGAAAGAGATGCTTGTCTCAGAAAACAGTTCAACGAGATGTACCCCAGAATCAAAAGAGTCTCAATAGCCTATAATTAGTCTTACAAAGGATCAACTAGCGTGCCGTTCTTGCACTTTATGCAGTCTGAACCCATTACTCGCCTACACCATTCGTGCGCCAAGGACTGGCACTCTTCATTGCTGCAACGGCACCATTTCACTTTTTTACAAAAGACGGAGTCCACTTCTGGAGGCACAATGCTTCCGCAGATGTAGCAAGGCGCAGATTCGTCCTTGATCTTCGTTTCAACAGTCGCGTTCACATCCTATAAATACATTTTGGAAAAGTTTCGTTAAAAGCCAAACTCAATCAAGATGGCGCAGATACTCGCGATGAAAAATTTTGGGAAAAGAAGACAAATCTACCTCAGCGCCTTCCTCAGGCGGCATGCCTTCAACTTCATGTCCAAGATGTCCAAAATATGCAACACAGTCTAGGACACCACCCTCGTGCTCTATGACCTGAAGATGCGACCGATCAATGGAAAAATGTATTGCGTTACGTACATCAATAAAAGCCGGGCAATCGATTTTCTTCTTATTTTCTTTGTTTTCCTGGGACATACTTGCCACTGTTTGGTCAAACTTGCAGCGATAAAAATGAAAAAGCTTCTCATTCCAAGGTTGCATTCCACTTTTGATCAATACAGTCTTGGTGTCCCTTTCCATCGAGGCTCGCCAGGGCTTAATAAGAAAAATAGGATAAAAGATATATCAATGCGCAACAGTTTCTCTGTCCTACGCAAGTTCTCAGAACTTTTCTTAAATAACCGACAGCACAACCAAATTTCTGCCGTTTGCTGAATTAAAAAATTTATTGCAAGCTCTATACTTGAATTTCGCGACATCTGCAAAAAAAAGCTAAAATGAATGTGTGATAGGACAAGATATATGTATTACTTCAAAAAGCAATCTCACTTCAAACTGATTCCAGCTGTTGAAAGAGGTCTGTACAAGTGAGAAGTCCGTCATGGCTGTAGTATGCACCCCAACACAATGCACTGACAGTAAATAGCGTGTTCTGAACGACCTCGCACACTTCGGACAAGTGACAGAAGCAAACATTGGCTGTTGCAATTCAGGCAGCTTGCTGTGCGGGTGGTATGTCTGAGATACATTCTGTAGAGATATCTGTATGAATTCTTTGAGTGTACCTGCACATGAGTTTCCAGCACTGTTCGTGTGAAACACGAGAACTGACAAGATTTGCACTTATAGTATATGTCTTTGGCTTCTTTCGCTTCGTCATCTTCATTTGAATGTTCCTCTTCTGTCACTTCAACATTTATATTATGCGATTCCAATGTCTGTTGATCCATCGGCACTTCGTCGCATTCCTGACAAGGGTGATCGTCTTGCGATGTTGTCGGCGATTCGGCATCATCAAGTTCTCTAAAACAAAGCTCATACGCAAAAGGGTTTGCCAGCGAAAAGAAGATTTATTACGCTAAATCTTCGAGCGTCAAATAGTGAAGTCTCGATTTTTCGTCGTAGCTCTTCCTCATTTCCTTAACTATATCTGCATGTTCCATGCCTTCTAAACAGACACGATAATGCATTAAAGGAAAGAGCACCAAAGCAAAGCAGCCAACTTGCAATGAGCAATAGCAGCTTTTCCTTCTGCCCGATGGTAAGCAGTAGACTTTTTGCGTCTCTATCATGCCCCATGTGGTCTGTACATCCAATTGCTTCCACGGTACCGTCATTCCGCATGCGGCACTTAAAAGGTGGTTGTTGGAGAAATGCGGCGAATTGAGAGCTAGAACATTGAAAAAACCGACGAAAATCATGACATCAAATTCAAGCACCTTTATGAATGCAGTACAACGCTTGGCAGTGCTGAGTGATATATTCTCCGGGCAAGAACTGCAGCGATGGCATGCATACTCTGCAGCTTGTTCACTTTTGATGGGTAGCATCCGAAAGGAGGTGCAAGTCCGCTCTTCGATATCGGACTTCCATTCCTGGAATAACAGTTTTATTGTATAAAGGTCTGTACTTTTTGCTAAGTTTTCAACTCACTAAAAATTCATCGACGGTATCGAAAGATAAATCGAATACTTTGAAATCTTGTTTCGTTTCCGCTTTGTGTTGTTGAGCACAGTGATACAGGTATTCCTCGCAACTTTCCAACATGTTTTCACATCCATCGCTTGCACACACGAATCCGACAGTAGCTGCGGTAGATGTCGAAGGCTCATCACTCGCATGCCTTTCTTGCAAATGAGAACTCAAAGCACGTTTCGTCCAAAACGATGAGGCACAGTGTTTGCATTTGAAAAGCGTCGGAAGATGAGCTGCAGATTCCATAGCTGAACTAGATCCCAAGCGTTTCAACAGGACATCCCGTTCCTCATCGGTATAGTTGTGAGCAAATACAACATGTTCTCCCAAGTGATCCTCTTTGAACATCGAACTGCACTCCGGACATTCAATGCGCTCGCCATGACTCGGTCCTAGTTTGAAGGAGACTGAATTACACATTCTGGAGTGCACTGGTATCAAACAACTAAACGTTTTCAAGTTTCTAAGCTTGTGCGCCTGACAAAGGAAGTGCTTCTGCTGATATAGCCGTTCAGAATGAATGCTTGGGCTTCGGCCATATATTGCTGTTACTGCTGAGTGCACTCAGCAGTCGGTGGGAATACGCATTAAGGTGCCATCATTCAACAGCTGTAGCAACGGTAACACAAACAGCGCCGGGAGCGGTAACGCAGTAAAGGTCCCAGTAGTAATAGGTAACACCGAGAATAGCAGTAACGATAATCGGCTATGCACGGCCGAATCCATACTGTCAATGTCGATGACACACGAATATCCTCAATTCAAGACTAACGGGCGCGCTTGAGAGCAGATATGAAGGGTGCATTTCTGTCATCTGCAAGCACCGAAATATTGGCGCGTTGACCCTATGCTTGGCAATTTGCACCTTATCCCAAACGGCCACTTCTACTAGTTTTGATCGTGAAAGTGCAGCTTGCATTTTCAGAATTTGATGTACTTACTCGGTTATTTCTTTGAGTAAACCAACCAATTGTTGGTTGAATTACATGTGAAAAACAGAATCACTTCAAGGAGACAATTTTCGTGGTGTCCAAAAGAAAAAATAAAGTGTTTTAAATATCTTGCGTTATAAAAGATATCAACAAAGCACGTACATGTAATGCTTATCTCTAAATGACACCCTATATGGTTAGTTCTTACACCATCACCGTGCGTACTATATGGTACCAGTTGCACATAGAGTGTGTCTTCCAAAAAAAACCAAAAACGTTGCAAAAATGCTTACGTTCTTGGCTTCTCAACTGGTCCAAACGCTCCAGGTACATGCGATCAGAAGTTATTCTACCAGCAGTGCCATGTCTTCTTCTCAAATGCCGTAATAATGTGTCAAATCCAAACGAACAGGTGCACATAGGACATTTCTGCCAATCCTTCCTCTCAACTGATGGCATGGCAGACTAAAAAAGACTGAGCTACCTTTCTCTAGATAACAAGAATGTAAAGTAGAATCAAAATAATATGTAAGACCAAAGTTAATTTTGCTTCTGGCGCAGCCTCGATTAACGCTATACCGAATGCACGAGTAAAAGACGCACCCGTTTCTTCTAAACTCGACTAGCTGAACACACTAAAAAATTCGCGACCAAAGACCTTCTACTGTGCTGTTAGTTAGATACTTGAAGAATTGTGTGGGAAAGCAAGGAATTCGTGAGGTGCAATGGTGCCGCCGGGTTGCTTACCTGAAAAAAGGAAAAGGTGCGTCTTATGCTCGTGAGATTAGAGTAATTCTGATAACGGGAATTTTGAATGTGCTATTCTTCACGCAGCAAAACAACGAGGAGTACGACTCGGGATTTTTGGATGCAGTGCAAAAAAATGTTACAAAAACGCCACTAATACAAGTCAGATCAAACAACATTGGTTCACTTCTCCCGATTATCATTAAACATCTTCAAAATGACTGAAATGTGCATGCACCAATGCAAAATAAGCTTTATCTCCATTGCAGGCAATGTTCAATTCCGCATAATGCAAATGAAAGGCAAGGCCGTGTGATTCAATGCTATAAAATATGAATGGATTATACCACTTATTCTAGTGGCCACTTCTAGATGGAACTCTTCGGTTTTGTTCCCAGTTCACATTGAACTGCAAGATAAAACGCGGTTTAAAGGGAAGAGGAATGCAAAGTCGCGCTCTACCGTCAAAGCCACGTCAATTTACAAAATGCTTCCAAATAGGCAACCTAAGTCGTAAAATTAGCTTGTACTGAGGAGATATTCACCAGCAAAAAGAAAGGTGTCAAATAAAACAAACATGCTCAAGCTGACAGTTAACAAACGCTAAAAAAGCGCACAGCCTGGAGTACAGACTGATTCCTTCCGTACTGATCCTCAGCAACTGGTGTTTACACTGATTTTAACAATCAGAAATGTATTCAAAAATATACGCAGTCACCTTGTGATTCGGATTTAGGACACGCCTAACGTCCTCCTCTAGCTCCATTCTTGCTTTGTGCTTTGTCTTTTTGTGAAAAGTCAGTGCATTGCGCGAAGCATATTTGTGAGGGCAATAAGGACAACCATATACAGTCGCTCCTGTTTCAGCCATTTTCTGCTCTCGCCTTGCTGTTTTTACTTCCTGGAGCATAGCCCGATCGTACGAATGCACATCCCACAGATGTCGGTACAGATCTCTTCCTACTTTAGCTAGGCCGCACTCGGGACAACGCTCCTGAATTTAAAACTGCTAAATTCTGCAATCCAAAAAGGAAAAACTTACCGATTTTTCAGAAAGCGACAACGTACACTTGTACTTCCTCTTAGGTAAAAAGTCACAGCTACAGTAATTAACTTCAGCAGAACCCATCACCAATGTGACTAATGAAAGAAACTACACAAATACTTACATTGATAAAGAATTAAAGGTGGCAATCTTCAAAGGTTCGCGCCTCGGGTCTCGCCGCGGTCTGCGATTACGGTGCCATAGTTGTTCGTCTCCTGGCAATTTGGTCTTTTGAAAAAGTGGATTTTGGAAACTACAACTTATTTTAGAAATATATAGTATATGCGGGATGTGACCGTGGTGCAACTCTTCAGAGTTAGTCCACGTCATTAGTACCCATGCACTTCACGCCAGAAATTTGTTGCTAGGAAGTCTGATTTTGTTGACAAGAAAGATCTTGCGCCATCAATGCTTTAGGTAATGAAATGACGGAAATCAAAGAAGTGAAGAACGACAAGGAAGAAGATTCTGCATGGTGGGACACTGCTAAGAGTGAGAATGCTTGGTGGCACTCGATTGTAAAAGCCATTATAACTGCTGGACCAGTAAGTATTCATTTTTCAATCGAGGGTTTGAGTTTACTCTATTTTGTTGTACAGTGTTGTCAAAGTTTGTCTCTGTGTCAGGTTACAACTCTACTCAATTAAATACATACATATACACCTTTTATGTTCCATACCATGTCGCGTTTGTTATGGATGGAAACAGGCGATTTGCACGGTCTCATCATCTCGGACGTGTGATTCGTGGTCATGAAAAGGGCTTTCAGCAACTTGCTAAGGTATGCTTAGTTCCCCCCGTCAATTTAGCTCATATAGCTTTTATGGGAAGTCTTGCCACAAATGCGTATCTTGATGACCTTTTCCCATCCCATATCCTCAAATCTCCCAACTCAGGTACTGGAATGGTGTCAGGATCTTGGCGTGCGTGAGGTCACGGTCTATGCCTTCAGCATAGAGAATTTTAAGCGCAGTTCTGAAGAAGTGAATGGCCTCATGCACTTGGCGGAGAAGATGTTTGCAAAGCTCCTGGCAGAAAGGTATCTACACAGCTGTCCTTACGAACCGTACTGATGTCTTGCAGAGATAAACTCGAAGAAAAACAGATTGCATTTCGCTTCTTTGGTAACATAGCAATGTTGCCCGCGAAACTGCGCAAGCTTATTGCACAGATTCAACTCAGAACGAAAGACTACGACAGGTATGAAACTTCTCTTTTTTGTTTTTCCTCCGTTTTTTCTTCTGTTATATCTGCAACCCCTATATTACTGAGCTGATTTGAGTCGAAACTCGTCCAGAGAGGAAAATTACCCGAATCATAGTATTGAGAGCTTCCAAATTTGAAGAAACTTTACCAAAAACTCAATAATCAAACATTGTTTCATTCTAGGGGTACCGTGAACGTTTGTATGCCATATACATCAACTGACGAGATCGCACGAGCTTTCGAGCTGATTCGAAAAGGAAGGCAAAAGGTTAGCGCCCAGCTATTGTCGTAGGTTGCTTAAACCTTAGCATTATCCTTGCGTATGGTCACTAAAATGTCTGATGTGCATGTTGGTGATTTCCTAATGTTATAATTTCCATAATTATTTAGTCGCGTAAGATATTCAGATCAATCGCTACGAAAACTTATACCTTTTCATAAACTAATCATCTCTGCTTTATTCTTCGCGCAACTTGTGTATTTATTTTTATACTCTTTCAAAGAATGACTTCTAGGGATTACTGGAAGAGAACCAGATCTCTGAATGGCTGGTGTCTCGCTGTCTTGACAGCCGACTGGGAACCGATCCCAATATGCTCATACGCACTAGTGGAGAAAAGCGTTTGAGCGATTTTCTTTTGTGGCAGGTGCCGTTTATTTCCCTCCCCCCCCCCCCTTTCGTCGATAATTTGCCCATCTGTTGCAGTGCATCTCCAGTCATTTATACTTCGATGAAGTCTTATGGCCAGATTTCAACTACTGGCATTTGTGTAAAGCAATACTCTCGTACCAGTATCACTCCAGTTCTATACAGGTTTGTCCGCAAGTGCTCGAAAAGGTCGTGTGTTATTTCTATATCAAGGAAATAAGACGAAATCATGAAGCAAGGGAACCATCAAACGAAGAACAGTTGGCATTACAACCATTTCTCAAGTATGTAGATGATCTGCATTTTTCAACACTGCAAGAATACGCAAACCTTGAGGTTTGAGAAAAAATTGGGCTGTCATCGTCATATGAGTCCTTTCAAATCTTCCACATTACTTGTGTAACGTTCTTTCTATAATTTTCCCCATCCTGCCTTGATCTATGAGTCGTAAGCTTACATTCCTAGAACAGTCTTATTTACGGTTATGATAAGTTGCCCTCTTGCCCTATCAGTTCTTTCCAAATTGAAAAGTTATTGGTAACTTTCGTGCTTTTATAGCAGTTTTATAGCAGCCATGGTTGTGAGGAAACTTTGGTGAGGTTAGGTAGAAACATATTGCAATGAGTAAATATTAGAGACAGACTTATTGGATGTAGAACTTCGTGGGCTTTGCACAATAGATGGTGAAAATAACACAAAGGTTTTGTATACTCTCACATTTGGCATGTATCATGTATTACAAAAAATACCCAATTTCTGCAACATCATAACGAATATCACTCTATCAATATTATTTACTGGCTGGCGCCGTTTGTCCAGCTCGCTGTCGCACTGATCGAGATGCTTTTGCTCTAGATGTCGATGGATCATGGGAGTTCATCGTTGCTAGCACAGATTCGTCTAGTGCCTTTCTGGCTGCTGCTAAATCGGCCTCGGCTTGCTGCGCACGTTTACGATCGGCAGTCACTTGAGCGTCACGTCTCAAAAAAAAGAAATTCAAAGACAAAAAAAAAACAGGGAATGCAACTAAAACAGGGAATGTTCTGAGGAAGTAAGTACCTGTCAGCATCTTCTAACGTTTGCTGACGAACATCTGTAGCGCTACGTGCGAACTCCGAGAGCGTGTTTATTATGGATGGAAGATTACTTGCTGGAGTGTCGCGAGACGCCCAGTCATCGACCTGACTTGCAATAAAACTGATCTGGCTGTTCTATTAAAATGCCCTCGGAGTCTTAACAATTTTTACTCTATCTCGTTTCTACAACAACAAAAACTCCACAAGAACGAAAACGTTTACAATATCCTCATCAACTAACTTCGATGAACTGTCCTTTCGAGTCAAGACGAGCCTTGATCAGTTTATTGTAAATCGCGTCAATTACAACGTCTTCAAGCTCACGAACGGATGTAATACCGAGGCTAAAATTGTTCATATAACTTAGAGTTATTTATTACTTGACATATAATATTTGGAGTTCTCGACTTACTACTTCATGACTTCCGCATAAGGAAGCTGTCTATTCGATGTACTAGTAGCTGCTAAGCTGATCAGTGAAAGTTGTTGAAGTTTTCGTAGTGCTGCAGGTGGTAAATTTACCTAGAGCATATGATTAGCGGCCCACAGCATGAGAAATAAAAAAGAAGTCACCCCCTCTGGAAGATCTTTGATAGTCCCATAGGCAAATACTTCTAACGTTTTGTATAATGCAGGGTTTGACTGCTGGAGAGCCTACAGTAAAGAATGGAGAAATGCAACGTTGTCACAAAAACGCACATACCTGCACATTGGGTTGCGCAAGCATTTCGGAAACATTCAAGATTCGTGGATTAGTGATAGTGTACTCAATAGCTGATTCTGGTGTGTCGAGCACATTCGTTGCTAATGCTGTCATGCTACTGAAAGCCTGCAGTCTACAACATTACTTAGGACTAAAGAGCGAGATATTGTTTATCTGGAAAAATGAACCGAAGTAGTAGATAGAGTAAGCGAGTACGACAAGTTTATTTCCGCTGGGAAACTTATGCAAAACACTGAACAAAAAACTAAGCTGGATCCGATCCAGCGGGGAAAGACTCTATACAATTGTCTACAAACACAACATTATGTAGAAAGACTATAGAAGTGTCTATAAACACAATCGATGAATCAAAAATCGCTGACACGTCCCTTGCGCTCCCAATCGCCGTACCGTGTAGGTTCTGGTCCAGCCGGGCCTCCAATCTGAACCAAAGAGCATAAAAATCGAAAAGATCAAATAAAACTAACACTACTGAGGAAACTAGGAAAGGCAGAGACTATACAGTATGCACTTTAGCAACATCGGTCATTGGGAAAACGAGGAACGCTGCGAAAGACCACAAAGCAAGAAACAATTGTTTCGCAACGAAAATCCAGGGCAATCTGAAGTTCTGTGTCAACCATACCCTCTTCACAAGCGTACGAAGTATATAGGCATGAACATATCAAAATCTTGCTACACTCAAAAGTCAAAATAACGGCAAATTTCTTCCATATAAATTTTGAAATTAGAGAGTGAGGATAAAATAATTTCGCCTTACAAGGAAAGGATGGTTGGTCGAATTGGCCTTTTGAGATGGTTTGTACATAAGTTGGAGGGCATAAAACGCTGATTCCAATCTGTTCTATCTGCGGCGCGTTTCTGCACGAGAAGTTATGAGCGTTTATTGGAGAAAAAAGTTGGATGTGCAAATAATATGAAAACAAGAGTAACATTTTTCTTAGCGCTTAAATGGATCAGTGGTAATTTTTCTAGTGTTCTATAAAATACATAATACTTTTAAAAGAGATATATCCGCACTTTGGCTGTCTCATTGAAGCGCTGGGGAAATTGCAACTGTTTTTATCCCAGAAAAGCATTATTTATTGCTCCTTTGAACGTTCATAACTCCTCGTCCAAGAACGCGCCGCAGGTAAGGAGGATAGGATAGACTCACAAAATAATACCATTACACCTATGACTATGCAATAAATAAGACCGTGCCTGAATGTGGAGCTCAGCTTTTTACGCCCTCCAACATCGTATACAGATCATCGCAAAAGGCCACTTCCATTGACCATCCTTCCCTTGTTAGATTTGTTTGGAAAAAGGAACGCAAAACAATTGTAAAGTACTTACGCAAAGCAATCGAAAACTCAAGAATTGCTTATTCAAAAAGAACAGACAAAAAGAACCGAAGGGATCAAAAAAATTCATCTTTAGTCATACCTCTCCAGTAACTGGATTCACTCCTCCCGGATGTTTTTTGAGATAGGGATCCTCGTAAGGCTTCTGAAAAGATGAGTGATTCCACAACTCGATAATACTCAAAATATGGTAATATGGGTAATATACCATCTCATCTAGTTTTCCAGCGGGAGTCTTCTTTTTCATAATCTCTTCTTTACTTATCTTCTGCTTCGGCACTTTCGGTTTCTCGGAACCAAGACATCGAGTTGGAGCTGTTCTGGGTACAATTTTACCCAAGACGCGAAGCATTCTGCAAGATGTAAACGGTAAAAAAGAAAAGTACCACAATATACAAGAAGAATCTGGGTATGAATTCCGTGAAATGAAAACCTCGCAAAACTGATACGAAGAAAAATGCATTATGTAATGCTGTACAACAAATGAACCAATAACAACACCAAAAGTATTTCACTCTTAGCTTCGAAACTTCATGCAAAAAATGTTAAAAAAACTTTGTACAAAACCAACAATGCAACAATGGCAGGAATACATGTGTAGTCAACGCGGATTTATTCTGAGATCCTAGCCTTGATTTTCTCTATTTCCGGTTGCAAAGCTACAAAAAGATGTTCCCAGAATAGCGGTTCCTCTTCCTCAATGTCCGATGAGAAGAACACCTGCAAAAGTGTGGACCAATCGAAAAATCCTGATGCTCCAAGCGATCTAGGGATCTTACTGAGGTTGCTTGAAAGTTTTGCTAATGCAGTATTTTAGAAAAAGGCAAGAAGATCTGGTGAAGTTTCAAGAAATTCCGCTTACTTGTCGACCTTGGAAAAGCTTTGCTATCCTCATGGTTACAGCTTTTACGCATACATTTTGAGTATTCGGTGTGTCGATTAGCATTGATGACATTGGAAAAAGTGCCAGTCCCAGTGATGTGATTTCCCTGTATCGAGTTTGCAAGTTCATTATCACTGAAAGAAAAACAAGAAGCTTACTTTAACCCAACCCAAAACCAGACACAGCCATCCAGTACCAATGCATAACCCTGATATTCATGATTATCAAACTTCAACTCGAACTCTAATCGCATTTCCTGTAAGATTTGAATTGCACTCTGTTCAAAGACAAGCCAGAAACGATACTTAATCGCCTATACAGATAAGAGCGGCTGAAAAGGTCAAGAAGCACAGTGTCAAGCAAATATGAGAAAGACCTTGCAAAAAAAAGATACGAATAGACGTCATCAACATTGTCATTCATATTTCATCACTATGTGAAATCAGCTGATTTAGATTGACTAAGTTCTCTCATTCGTGCGATTGCACAAGAAGGCGAACGGCCCCATTTAAATCCACAGAGTCGGCTGCGCGGGCGGTAGCGTCGCGCGCGCAGCTTTTATCGCCGGGTCATGCTCACTCAATGCAATCATCGTGCAATGCCGTCGTGGTTTTCAACTTTTTCGATATTTACTGTCACTAATCGATTTGTGACAGGTCGAAGGCGTTGCAGGTTACATTCTATGGGTTTTTTCTTACGGCCACCAAATGATGCTGAGATCCCAGATACCTATTTAAGATGTCTGTTGGGAAATTGTAAGATTGCTACCTTGTAGAGCACCCAAGCTCGGATGGAATTCCCATATCCGCTTCTCCGGCTTTGAGTTATTGTTAATCTCAATTCACTTCAGAGCTATGGCCTTGACAGCTCCCATAATTTGGTCAAATGTGTTTGAATTGTGTATTTATCTCGGACATTCAATCTTAACAGAATTCTGACAATAGAAAAGTAGCTGAGCATTCATTGGTACAGCGCTCACGTCTTTACAACCCTGATCCTCATTTCTGGCTTTTTCAAAATTCCTTGGGAAAGCTAAACTGGAGAATCCAATAGTTCGTATGAAAAAGTAAGATCGATAGCTTGGCATGCCAAAAGTGTTTTGCTAGAGATGGGTAATACACCAACGGATGACTTTTTTTTTTTGATTACTCTGTGCTTGTCAAGGATGCCATTCGGTACGGTAAAGATGAGGGCGGCATACCGAATGACTTTATACAATCAAAACTAGAGAATGCTAATACGTCAGAACTTCGTAGTCTTGATGTCTTTTGCGTAGACAAGACGATGCAAACGACGCAACATCCTTTTTGCTCCGTGAGATGACTACTATTGGGTACTTCATATGCACATGCAAATCCATGTTTTATTTTCAAAAAAGACCTTCACTAGCACAAAACCAAAAATCCTGCGGACTTGAAGAACTGGAGATGATAAGTATTGCGGGTACTAGAGACTCTTGGGCGGTTTTTGCCCGTAACAACAAAAAAGTAGAAAGGACGGTGGTTCAGGATTTATTAATAAAACTTAGCAAGAGTACAGTGAGCACGAGAGCAGGATAGCGATACCTTTCCATTTCACGTTGGATATGCAAGTGAAAAGGAGGGAGGGGTGGGGGACATTAGGTCGCCGAAAAAGGGCGGTCCCCGCGGTCATTTGCGACAATTACGGACCCTTGTACATGCGCGGACATGCGTTCCTGCAGGGAATCCGCGCGGGACTTTTCCAAATTCGGCGACCTAATGTCCTCCACCCAAGGAGGGAGTAAGGTTCGGCCACGCCTATCTCGACGTGACCTAAGGTCGCGGCGGGGTATCATCATCGGCACGATGAGAATAATCGAGACATTGAAGTGTCCACTCTAGCAGAATACTTACGAAAGATCTACTAAAAAAAGGAAGGACATGCGATACTTCTGAAGGATGTAAATATTCTAGGCAGCATCTGGAAACACATTTGGTAAACTAAACTCAAATGTGACATATCAACTCGTTCCGATCAAGCATTATGTTCAGTCTCTCAAAATAGATCACCACATTTCAATGTCATAAAACCGTCAATTTTGTTAACAAATAACCAGAAGCACATGATGAACTGAGTAAAAATTATCTACATTTTAGCAGAGTGCAGCGAACACGGCAAGCGTGACCTGATAATAAAGGCTGCGCGCGCGACGCAACCGCCGGAAAACTTTAAGTGACTCTAAACTCTGCTCTGTACAGAGTTTAGAGTCATTTAAAGGCAGCGTCCAGGCAGATCTGGACCTATGGGGCTTTTACGTGGAAAGTACTTTTGGGGCCCTAACTAGGGCACTGCCCAAGCGGCAGCTCAGGTAGTGCTGTAATGGCTGAGATATTCCCCTCGAAACTGGACCCCGCGACCGTGTTTCGCATGGATTCATGGCGCAAAGCGTGGAGCCTGGCGCGAAACTGCCATGCCATGCGAATACGTTCGCGGGGGCCAGTTTCGAGGGGAATATCTCAGCCATTAGAGCACTTCCTGAGCTGCCGCTTGGGCAGTACCTTAGTTAGGGCCCCAAAAGTACTTTCCACATAAAAGCCCCATGGGTCCAGATCTGCCTGGACGCTGCCTTTAAATCTACAATTCAAATGGGGCCAAGGCGAACCGCTGGTTGTGACCACAGAGCATGACAACTGTGAAGTGAATCAAGTATGGCGCGTGCCTCCCTATGGTGGTTTTCTCGCCACTAGTTGCGTTACCATAGGCGTTTCCCGATATGAATAACCTTTAGAATATGCCTAGATTTTCATTCCATGTCCTGACGTTGGCAGCGCTATACTTATCGAGAAGTATAACACGGGTGTACAACGTGAACGATAGCTGCAAACAAGCATACTGTACTTCTGCTTGTTTGTATATGCCGCATATACAGACGTTTTTTTTAGAGCAAAACGTTCTTCGGCGGATTGGAAATGGTGTCAAAAAGTAAGAATAAGGGCCTACTGAGCATACACCGTTTGTTCCAGTTTTTTAAGTATAGGGCATCCGAAAAATCGTGACGATGGCGCGACCGCGCGCAACACGCACGCACTCCCAATTCTTAGTTTCTATATCTTATCGAAAAGTTTTTCTGCTTACATATGATAGTATACAGGAACTGGAAGTGACTGAGCTTAGCGTTGAGGTGTTGCCTGCTTGTATGAGTGTTTTATCCTTCTGTGTGCGGAAAGACCGCAGTCAACTCATCGTCACGACTTTAAAAATGAAGCATACCATCATAGCGTAAATACAGTGTCCCAAAAAAAAGTACACCTTTCCAATCGTCAACATCTCTCTTCCCATTGGTTCTTTTTCCGCCATTCAAGTACCATTCCATAGAGGAAGCTTCAACTTAGATTTACGCCATGAAGCGAATCATGGATCGCTCTTCGTTATTGTAGAATTACGGTAAGAACTTCCAGCATGTGGAACCATGTGAAATATGCCATCTAACAAAAATTTTTTTTCGAAAAAAAAAATCGTGTACTAGGGTTTTCGCGCACTCTAATTCTATTGCACAACTTTTTACGAGTGTTTTCAGCTTTTTTGATAGTGTAATCACATTTCTGACAAATGCTGGGAATTCGGTTATTACGGTTTACCTTTGAAAAGAAGCATTACAGTAAAAGGGAAATCTCATATTTTAAAGTAGCGGCTTCCATTATTACCGTATAAGAGTTTTTGCCTTGTTTGGTTTTGTTCTTAGGCAGAATATGGCTTCCAATCGCCTAAAATTCTTGTCGAAGTCCCTTCAGTAATCCTATAGTAGTGAAGAGCGATCGGTGATTCGCTTGATACCGAAAATCTCAGTTGAAGCCTCCTACAGAGGTATCTAAAGTATCTAAAGTGAGCTATCTAAAGTGCAGTCGCCAGTTGTGGCGACTGCACTTTAGATAGCTATCGATCATTGGCATATTTTGTCTTATCCAATCTATAAGTGCTCAATGTACCGCCAGATCGTGAACACTCACCAGTCGCCTGTATTGGCAACGCGTCGTCACTACTAGTGACGACGTCTCCAGTATCGAGAACGGCGATCGCCAAGATCAGCGACAAAAGTCGGCGATTTTACACGTTTTCAATGCATATCGATCGTAGGTGCTATACTCCGCGAGGAGTGTAGCACCTGAAACGTCACTCTTGATCAGTTTCTGAATGTGCTAATTTACTCGGGACACACAGGCAGGAGTTCTTAGCACTTCCTCGTGCCAGTAGAACCAGCATTTGAACTAAGGAGGGTTCTACTATCTGCTGGCCTCAGAAATTATGCCCCATCCATTGCTCCATCTACTGACTGTTTTTGTGCAGTGAACTAGTGCAATAACCACGTGCTTGAAGGCACCGTCCACCCAGATTTTCAACTTCATGTTTTTGTCGTTTCAGGGCCTTCTCATGTCCCTGATTCCGAATATGAAGTCAAGAATGTGCGAAACCCGACATTCCTCTTCGGAAGAACTCACAGGCCGGCTTTCCGGAACGGTGATTGGATGGGCGCGCACAAATGGGCGGGCATGGATGGGGAAGGGCGGGCATGAATGGGGGCCCTCCTGCATCTTCGCTGTTCCGAAGCGATTTTCTCGCTTCCGAAGCTGCGTTTTGTGCTGCGACTTGGGCAGCATTGATAGAGGGCCCTACTATTACATGCTGCCAAAAGCTCAACATCCTCAACTTAGGGTGGACGGTGCCTTCAAGGGCGATCCGTAATTTCGAAGTAGCCTTTTAGGTTTGATACATACCTGGCGTCGAGTGTGTATACGCAGCGGTGGCAAGAACGTATTTGATGCGTATCGATTGCAGCGGAGTGACTCTGCTGCCTCACGCTGCAGCATCTAACGCAAAAGGTCATGTCCAAACCTAGCGACTCATTCTTGAGCAGCGCTGCTCGTGCTGATCAGCACTGATCAGCGCTGCACTAGATCTTGCAGTTGAGTTATGCTCACTTTTCTGAGCTTATCTCAACCGCTTCGAGCTGCAAACAGCTGTTTTTGTTTGAATCTACCTATTTTTACCGGTTTTCAAGCTGCAATTAGCGCTTTAAAAGCAAAGTCCGTCTTTCTTGCATGAGCAAGTCATGAATGCAACTTAAAACCATCAAATTAGGATTTTAGAGGCGGATATGGGAAAACATTGAAATAAGCCGGAGAGACATACTCCATGAAGATGAAGAGACTACGCTGCTCGTTGCTTTTGTCCATACCTAAGCAGCGAGGTATGTATCAAGCCTTATGTGACTCCTTTACCACTGCAAGGAAAAGAAGGTTACAAAAAGGTCTTCATTATCGGTCAATCGCTTCTGGACGAGTTATGAGCGTTTCTGGAGTTGGAAGATTGAATCCGCAACTCGAACAAAGTTCGTCCAAGTTTGCTCAAATGATCCGGTGGTCATTATCAGAGCACTTCATTCAATCGGAAACTTCTGTCCACTACACTCATACTCAACACTGCTCTATTTGAGCGCTGAAAAGACCGTAACGGTCGATTTTACCTAGATTCTGTGTTTATGTTTTGCTCCAAAAAGCTCATAACTCGGCGTCCAGAGGAGCTTGGCAGATAATGAAAACAGATTTGGACGCAGCGTTCAATATTCTTCAAAACGACGTAGGAATCATTCGACAAGGCCAGTTCGTCTGAACGCCTCCCTTACTAGAAGTATGAAAGAAAGAAAAGAAATCGAGCCGTAGCGCGACGAAGATAAAAAGAACCATTAGCAGTACGGTCGACTACCGTACTGCTAATGGTACTTTACCGCTTAATATAGTGTGCTTGCACAGAAAGTGAAATGAGGTAGAATTTGCGCGTAAACAATAAGACGATTGTACGACTCACTGTACCTATAACTTCGACTCACCTGTGTTCATCGCTAATTGATCAACTCTACACGTTGTACATAATTCAACTGTAGATAATTTTAGAGCCTATTTAACAAAGATACTTACGGTTACTAACCATGACCATTCGTAATGAAGTGTATATTGAAATTGCGTCTCTAAATGCTGGTTCGAAACTGCTTTCCCATACTGCGAAACGATAACCCGGATGAAATTACGATTATAGAATAAAGAGCATTACTGCGCAGGATCAGAATCATTAATACAAAATTTTTTTACCTTTTGAACTGCTGATTATGAATTAGTTAGTCTTAATACAACAGTAACTGTCTAAGATCTTCTTGAAAAGCATCAAAAGATGAACCAGACCAACACTAGTGTTTTTATCTATCCAAAAGTCACAAATTCTCCTAGAGAAAACGTTAGTAAATTTGAAGAAGAAGAAAGAAGATCAATTCGCAGCTAAACCATATTGATTTGAACTAGCGTTTCATGCATCTTATATTACACAATGCATTGGAGATGGCAAAGGTTTACCAAGTATCCTTTCCTTGTAAGGCATTGCTCCGGCCGCGATATTCGTCCCCAAACCATACCCCATCCCTGTATTTTTGGCGGGACTTGCATCGAGTTTGCTGTCGCGGGGATCCATTGGGGCGGAGGAACGAACACCTCGACTAGGCACCGCCTCCGCGAACTACTGGTCCTAATACGATGCACAACAGTAGAACGAAAGGACCAGCAATCCGCGGAAGCGGTGTGTAAGTGAGGTGTTCGTTCCTCCACCCGGATCCACTGCCCTCTTGATGGTCCCTACGCAGAACCCTGCAACCCGATGCAGGTCGTTCGCTAAGTACAGTACTGGACACGACCACTTAGAGCCCTATATAGATTGTCTCAACGTGAGGGTCACAGCTCTGAAAACGTGTCCTCTGGGCATTTTTCAAAGCCTCAGCGCGCTCCTCCGCTGTTAAGGCATGAGAGCCCAGAAGATAAGTTTAGAATCCGATTTGGAGATACAATGCCTCCTCACAGGGGCGCACTCAGCATTTCGGTTCCGGGGTTGGGAAGGGGGAGGGGATAAAGATTATTTCTGATGAAGGTGCGTGGCGTTAGACACACTCCGAAAAACTTTTTGGTGTGCTTCCCAAAATTTGCGACGGCACATAACCCGGAAACCTTAGAAAAGGGGCGTAGCAAGCTATGCTCCCGAATAAGTTTTATTATAGGACTGAAATAAATTATTAAAAAATTTCAAAAATTATTCAAACTATTTACCAAGTGTGGACAAGTCATTTGCACATTTTTATAAATAATGTAATCTTACAAAAATGCGACCCATTCTCGAGGGGAGGGGGACGGGTGGAGCACACTTACGCGTCAATATGGCTAGAGGCAACCTTTCCGATATAATGCAAGAGGCAAACTCTTTCACCCTACAAAGAAAGCTACATAATATAAGATTGATAAAACTTTATTACGCTATGCAAGTAGAAGAGAAATGTATGCAACTGTATGTAATAATGTCGAACTATACAGCACAAATTTTTAATAGAAGGAGATGCGAAAAAAGAACGCACACACTTGCACACAAGCACACACATAAAAGATGGACGTGACCCCCAGAAAGTGATGTTGTTGTCAGTCACGTCTCGCAATCACAGACAAGTGTATTTTGACATTTTCTCTTTTGCTCTTTGCACGTATAGGAGTAAGAATCTGAGACTACAGCAAAACTATCTATCAACATCATTCTGAATATTGTCTCAAATTTCTACAGAACAGCAATGAAAACATTGTGGTAACATCCTAGCGAAGAATCGAACAGAAATCACTGATAGTCTTGTTTACCTAGAGCACGGAGACCTTGATACATCTAGTGATTTAATTACAACACCGCTCTTTTGGCCGAATAGCAGCAAAAGTTAAGGAAAGTTCTCGCTCGAGAGAACTGTTTTCTAGAAGACAAAAACGCAAAAGAGGACATCTGGCAAAAAAAATCTGTATGAGGGAAAAAATTCAAAAAAAAACAGGTCACCGATTACGAAAATCACAACAAAACATAGAGAACAATAAAAGAGGAAGGAAAGCTTACTCGTGGACATGAAATGAAGTAATGTACAGGGACGTTTAGCAGTTCCTATCTAAAAGGGGTACAACTGAAGGAGAGAAGAGACAAGAGATAGTTTGGAAACACAAACACATGAGATGCATCTGAAAAAGTACGAGACAATCTCTGAGGGCGTTGAATCTTACATCAAAGGACCGTACAGGCCAGAAACACTTGCACGGAAGCACATCTAAAAAGCTTTCTTATAATGAAAACACCAAATAACTAAAAGTCCATGAAAGCTCTCTGAAAGCTACTACGCCAACTATCAGAATGGGAAAAACAATTACTTCAAAATGAAAAATTTCTTTCAAGATACCATGGTACAGGAAGTAACGTGGCAACTTTGAGCTTTCCTGTTTGTGTGTTCGATATAAAAGCAGTACACCCATAAACTATGCACTAAATATAGTAGCCAAAACTGAATCAATCAACCCTAGCCTACAAGAACTTACCAATGACTCAAATTCTTTCCTCCAATGGCTCGTTGTAGTACCATCTTTCATCCGAACCAAGTGAAAAATATCGCGTTTTCCAACGTTCACCAGTCTCGGCACGTTGCTTGGCTTCAGCTCTTTGGCGTTGTTCAATCATTCGTTTCGCCGTCGTTGCCATATTTATGCGATTTCTTAGAAGAGCAGCAGTGACATGCCGCCAAAGCCTGAATATTTCACATAGCCAAGAAACAGCTGCGGTTGAAAGAAACCAACCGCCGGCTTTCACGCTCGCCCTGTTGCATCACTGGTGTGCATTCCTTCTTCATTTCAGGTTCTGCCCGAACATCAATAAATAAATATTCTTCACCATTTGAAGGCTTTGCCATCATTACGTTGTTCCATTCACCGCGTATCGTCATAAACGGCTTTTTAACACCTTCTCTGAATCGAAATACGTCTGCTAAGCAAAGATTCCATAAATGCGAATGATTTCATCTTTAAAAAACAAGATAGCTAGAGCTGTGTGCACAGAGCCTACCACCATGCAAGTAACAATAGCAATCCGTGGTAAAATCAAACAAGTTTTTGGTTTGCAAACAGTCGAGATTTCAAACATTATTCGGATAAGAAAAACTAGTATCAACGCTTGGAAAGAAAAACGGACCCACCTGTATAAACTGCCCTGGATCCTGTGCGGCTTACCACCAAAGAAAGGTTTTGTCAAAAAATCTATATCCGCATAGTAACCCGTTTTTTCACAGGTAATTTTAACCTAGAAGTTTTTCGATGAAAAATATGACTGAAAACATCAACAGGCATTCACCTTTCCACCCAGCTCTACCCACGGAGTACTCATGATCGAACGCCCGTACCCGCTTGGAAACGTCACTGTATAATGTTCATCAAAATCATGCAAGATTACCGTACCGCTGCCGATATTCGCGACACCTGTGGAAGAGTAGTGAACGGATTACGGATACGATAGTTCAACTAACCAATAGACAATCCCAAGAACGAAGATTTTGTGTAAATATGAGCGTGAAATGAGATATGCTTGGAGGGGTGCTCAGCATAGAAAGCAGACACTGGAGGATGGTGGCTGACCTAGATTGTGCAACTTTTTGAGAAATGTATGTCCATCCGTGATCCAATGAACTGGTGAGAAACTATGGGTACGAAGAACATAGGATAATATAAACCTGTTCAGCAATGAAAGTCAGCTGGTTTTCATCTGATCCCGGAAAGGGTCCATCTTCAGTTTTCTTGCCGCTGCTACCGAGACCAGGCACACTGTAGCTAAAATTTCCAGAAGTTTAACTTGAAATCTTCCCGCCTTCAAAGCCATAAAAAGTGGCAATGATATATCAAGCCCAGCTACTGGAAGTCAAGAAAACGCAGAGCTTTACCGGCATCGGAATGTTTCTCCAAGTATGGGATTGTACGGCTTTTTTGCCACACCGCTTTTCCGAGCTGCATAGAACGCGTTTAGATAATACTTTACAACAGATCTGAGATGGATTACTGATCAAATCAAGGGAATGCAGCAAATAACGCAACTTACACAAATCTCTCTTGCGGTGTTTCGAGATCGACGGTGGCTACAAAGGCATCAGGATGCGCAAAAAAATCAGCATACATTTCTAACAAAGATCGACGTTCAAGGATAAATGTAGGTAAAGTAACTTTTGTCAGGTCCATGCCGATACTGACCTGAAGCGGAGTGAAAGATTTTTATAGAAAAAGTCCATAGGTCATAATATGTGAAAGTGACATTACCTGGCTGAGAAGATGGACAAGCACAGATCCGTGTTCCTGTTGTACATTTCCTACATCGTGTTCTTCCGCATTATCGTAGATTTCATCAAAGTCTTCATTGGCATCACCAAAGTCGAAGCTTTCCGCCGCTTCTAGTGACATATCCTTCATCTGACCATCCGGTGTCGCCTCGTCGGTCTAGAGCAAAAGAAGCAACGTTGGTATGAAACAAAATGGAAGGAAGAAAAATAATGCTCTATTCATTACAACTTTCAAATTTTAGCCTGCAGAGACATTACTGTCAATAGATTCAATCTTTACAACATCTTAATCACCAAATATGAGAAGGGTAGGTATGTACGTTTGTGCATTTAGATCATTTCAGCAAGCTAATGCTATAAAACATAGTAGAAAACATGTGCAGGAAATTTTCGCGCATCAATGTTGTGATCGACAAAGATTGAAGCGATTTCTAAAAAATATCGAAATAAAGTTCATTTATTCCACAGCTACTACTACAGCAGCTTCATGGAGACTATCCCATGTAGATTACAAGCAGCAAACAATCAACCATGATAATTCCAAGCACTTTTTGAATTCCAAGCATTAGAGCGGAGATATTGCGACCTGCGATGTCAAACAAATTAGCGTAAAAAAAACGAGAGACCTTTTCCACTTTTTTATTGATCTTTTGTTTGAACTTATTCACTCCAATTAGATTCTGCTACTATTAAATTGAGACAAAACGAGGAAATTCATGTAAAACATGGCGCTTTACACCGAAAAACCCTCAAGCAAATTTTGTTGGAGAAACGTTACACACACAAGTGAAATGCCTCTAAAATCTTTGGAAAATCGAAAACTAATGCTCATCGCAACACCACGTGATATTGGTCCCCTTCACTTAAAACTAACTGAAAGCTGGATTCTATGATTCTATCCTTTCAAGAAAGATAAATGCGATAGGGAAAGCCGAGGAACGTGAAAAATGAGAGCGGGACAATAAAAACCAGAAACAGCGCCGTCAGAAAGAGAAAGTCAAATTTTGTGTCATGCAACTATATGGCTTAAAGTGGAAAGGAATAGTTGCAAGGGAAAAGAAAACACAAACACACACAGAAGGGATCTATTAGGTCGTGTAACAAGTTCTGTCCCATTTTTTGTTTTAGTTTCTTGGCAACATTGATTATGTTTGAGATAAAATGTATATGCTTTTGAAAGCTCTAAGTCTGCTCTGCAGGCTCATTTGCATCATTCCCCAACACAGCAGGAAATTGAAAAAAATTTTCATCATTGAAACAGAAAATCCAAAGAGCCGAAAAATCAATTTTCGACATCTTTTTTCCTCCAAATTTTTCTCGCTTTTCATTGGTAAAACTTGTTAAACAAGCTTGACAACACCAGAACAATCTAACAGACTTCCACACTTATTCTACAACTATTTGCATATGTTACCTTCCTTCCACCGGCTAATTAATGACATTTTTTAAAAGTCGGCAAGGCAAAACTTTGTCACCGATGTTCGCCGTCTCGCGCACCCAAGCTGTGTGGCTCCCAAAATTCGAACTTTGAGTATTTAACCTACAAATTCGATAATTTTGAAGCCACAAACCACCCCTTCTGTCTTTTCTGGATGATCCGCCTACTGTCTTCCCTTAGGATGTCTTCAGATGATGCCCAACACCAACGTTGAAAAGGCGTTAGAAAGAAGACTTTTCTAAAGTCTACAAAAATGATTTCCGAAAAGTTTCAGCACTTCTGAAGCGCACTAGAAGCTAGAGTATTCTTTGCTTACGTGTAGGAAATTCTTCGAGCTTATTCCTAGGCATTCTGACCAATTAAGAGGGCGACGTAACGTAGTTGTCGAAAATGGTCTTTTTTCGTGTTTGATTTTCCAAATTTGACGCTGTAAAACTTTTTCAAGTCATCTGATGTAGGAAACCGGGATGAAAGCAGTAAAGGTTTAGAGCTTTCAAATGTATACAAACAGTTTGCAGAACATCGCGCAAAATACTGAGAAAAAATCGAAAGAAAAAATGGGACAGAACTTGTTGCACAACCTAATATTTACGAGGCAGCTCAGAATATGTGGATGTTAGTAGTAGCTCCGCAATGTAGAATAAAAAATTGCGACAGGTTCAGAAAGAAATCAGATAACGACACTGATAAGCTGTTATCTGGCCAGGAGATTACGGAATGCAAATAAGACAACTTAGTTTGAGATTTAAAGCTATTACGCGGTAAGAAAAACTAGAACGTGTATCAGTAGCACTCATCTGTTCCAGTTTATCTTATCGCGTACTGACATGAGCGTAGAATTAACAGTTTTCAATCCACCAAAAAGACAAAATAGTTTTTCTAATCTGATGAATATTACCGCAAGCTCAGCAGCAATAATAATGTCGGACGCACGTAAATCATAATATACATCGAATAACATTTGAAATCAAGCAGCTGAGACTCAAATCACTAACCTTGTCCAAATCGATCAGCTCTTCGTCCGCGTCATAAAACTCTTCCTCGTCACTGCTGAAAGTGATCAGGTTATATAACGCACTAACTGAAATTAATTTGCTGAGATAACCAACACTGCCCCAGTGCTGAGAAATTTATCATTCTTACTGTGCAAAGAAAATGATATCTTACAAGTGCTTTGGAGACTTCTTATATAAACTCAAACGAACTCTTGTATACAAAGCTTTCAACCAGGAAAAGCACATAAATACCAGCGGCAAGTGATGCTGTAAAACGTTGCTCACATAGTGCTTCTGCGATAGAAAACAGAGTGCATGGAAAGCTTAGTGATTCGAAAGAAAAGCCAAGGATTCCCAAGATGCGGAATCCTGAGACTGGCCAAGGATAGAAGACAATTTCATTACAAGTTCAACTACTCAATACAAAAAATATATGAGATTTCTGAAAATGTCATGCCGAAAGTTGTGAATAAGTTAACAAGAAGATGAGAAACATTTTTGCAAGTGAGCGAAAAATATTTTTCTGTTCAAAGAAGAAGTGAAGTAAGCTAATAAAAACCCACAGACTAATAGGAAGAAAGCGCCAGGATAAAAGGACTCATGGAAAACGAAAGAAATCTTACAGAACACTCCGCTTCGGCGACGATGATCTAGAAAAATCATTTTTGATTCTCATGAAAAAAAAACAAGATGTTTTTGAATAATTTAGTGAAGAATATATGGATAGCACTGCATGTAATGATTTTGAAAATTAGATGTTTGAAAGTTTGAATTAAGATGAATGATTGGTCTGTATGGGATGACGCTGACATGAGACAAAGTGAGAAATGCAAACGAAAATCAATAAATTCTCAGTGACAAAATCTGACGCATCTGTGCTCGGAAAAGATTAAGAAATGAAGATTTTCTAATAAATGTTTTTAAGTTGCTTTGATGATAAAACATTCGTACTCTACCATACAAATCAAACGTCTTTCGGATAAAATCGCAAAATTATCGCCTTTGACATTGTATTCTTGGATGAGTCAAATGCATGAATCAATTACACGGCTTCTGAACAAACTAAACAAAGCGCTGCTCTACGCTATATAATGGCATTAGCTAAGTACAAGGTGGACGGCACATGAATAGCCACTGGCAAACAGAGAAAAAGCACCCAACGTCCAAGAACCATACCGAATTTTATATGGAGCAGTAAAGGTGCTAATAAATCTTTGATAGCTAAATGAAAATAGCGAAGTAATACTGCGAAAATCAATTGGCTAGAATCAAATACCAAACAATGTGCAAAAGATTCAGAATTGTTAAGATATGAAATGTGCGAACACCATTCTCTGCTAGTAAGTAGGGCCATACTGCGCTAGAATACAGTCACCCTATGTAAGATATTCCCAAAAAACTACAGTGCAAAGACAGTTAATTCCCACGATCATATTTTTGTAGTACACACAAAAGTTCGACCATATCAAAAGCACTCAAGAACGACACTGAGACACCTTCCAGATCTGATTAACGTGGGAGATAGAAATTGCAAAAGCAGAAAATAAATCAGTTTATAGTTGAGACTCAAAGCGTTCATTTTACAGATAATATCAAAATATTTCCTGGTTGAAAAACTGGCTGTTCCAAGATAAACATAGGCCAAAAAACAGCTGCGAAAGGATCAGCGATCACTGGCAAGGTAAGTGCACACTCTGTGCATCAAATCACAAACATGACACTTCATGATTCGCAGCCTAACTTTGTAATGATGACTCGCCAAATCCCGCGCTGTCATGCTTTGAATACGCACGGATTGCAACCTCCCACACATGTCCGTGAACTGAGCACGAGAATGAAAAGGCCTCACATCTCTCTGTATGCATAAAAAACACCGAAGAGGGGATTAGCAGCTTTGAACTATACTTGTAGCGATTGCGGATCATTAAATCACAGTGGTAATTATTGCTCGGTTTAGTAACGCGTAAATAAAGTTTGGATGGTCATACTTTCAATGGAAATATAGATATCAAGATTATATCTTTCTTGAACAAAACTGCTTCAGAAAAGTTTTTTTCCGTCAACATATTGAAGATACGATGGTCATAAAAAATGCGTACGTTGAATAAGCACGCTTTTATGACATCTGCAATTATCGACTCAAACTGGTTGAAAATCAATTGCTTGTCACGCAAATGCGGTAAATCAACATTCACGATGACTGACGCGCTCATAAAAAATATTGTCAATGACTGCTTTTGGCCCATGATGCGGATATGATCAAATGCGAATATGAAGTGTCAGAATCAAAATCTCTGTTATTTAATCAAGTTATCGGGAAAGTCAACTAAACTCTGCTTTTACGTTCAAATCAAGATAGTAAGTAAACTTCCACGATTCTGTTTTTGGCCAATTACCTTGTACTGCACAAACAACTACGGAAAAGGTGACTCCCATTCGCACATTTGACAGGATATGCATGGCAAAAGCTTAGCTCACAATAAATTGTAATGTTAACAATGAGGCAGCCATAATCCGAAAGGACATCAATTTTTATCAACAAAAATCGATTATGCGAATTGATTTCGTTTGGCAAAGTGACATTAAACTTCTGAGAAAGATTGATTAACAATAAAAAAAACATTGCAGCGATTGCTAGAATAGAGTTGGTGGTGACTTAGTGAGATTTATGGCTTACTAAAAAGTATTCATGAGAGAACTTAGCAGACAAATATTGGTTAAAGTAGAAAGATTTGATGGAATGTAATGAAAGATCACAAATTCGGCAAAATTGCACTAATCACTAGACAACTAGATAAAAAAAGAGCAGAGCAAAGAAAGCTTAGAACTTGCCTGGAGTAGGAAATAGGTGGCACGTACGGCGAATGAACTTTGCCTCGATGGCCCTCTTCTTCTGCGCCTAACTTTGACGACGTCGAAGCGTATCGATCGTTATCGGCGTCAAGTGTCTGAAAAATTGCGACATGGTAATCCACTCATCCGTCCACACAGCTGTTTCATCAATAATATGACTTAATTAGCGCAGTTTAGATGCTGCCACGACATATTTTTGAGAATTGGACACATTTTCACCGGTTTAGCGCATGCATTTATCTTAGGGCTTTCTCTTTTTGTTTGCTTCTAGGTAATTCGTCAAAAGCCAAAAAGACAATAGTTATAAAACATTGCTATTACATGTTTGTACATGGTTTACGAGTTCAATAAAATGGTGATTGCATATGAGTCACAAAAATACGATGTAATGCCGTGGATGAGACTTGTTACGCTTATATTGATGTGAATTCTTAGTAGCAGTCAACAACCCCCACCCATAAGGCTTCGCATGTAAGTAGCAACCCTAAACACTGCTCAGATAGAGGTACTGATTAATGTAGAACTTCAGCTGTCAGAAAAGCGCAAGAAGTACAGCTCTATCAATCAGTGCTCAAATGGACTGAACACACGTCGATTTGTTAGCAAGTATGCAAATAGATGAGTCTATACCAACAAAAACTTGCATTATAAAGTAAACTGTAGCAAAGAATGATATTTGTTTGGCAATTAGAATGCAGTACTAACAAAAATTCGAGAAACGGCCGACTTCAGCTAGTAGGTGAGTGCTAAATGAAGCCTCACCCACTAAGATAATTTACAGAGATAGGCACTGATATAAATCAGAATATTTCTGCAAATCTGTAGCAAGAGAGCTACACGATATGGTGCTGTAGATTTTTCATATCAAAACGGCCTGAGGTAAAGTCGATAACGTCAGACTGCAATAATTACCATTGCCCTGCCGACTATATTTGCGAAGATCACATGCTGTTGAGCGTGGATAAACAGGTTTCCAACGTTCACTGAGCACGAGTTACTTTTTACAAGCTTTTTTCTTCTATGTAAAAAAGGCAAAAAACCGCTCTGCAATCAAAGATCAAACAAAACTGGGTCTCAAAAAATGGATGAGTTGAAAGAAGTCAAGAATATCAACAGAAACTGTTCCGCAACTGTTTAAACGATTGTGAGCTGAGAAAAAACGGTAAATCAAAAACAGTTCGTGTATAAATCAGCACACATTTCCAAAGCAGATGGGGCATTCAATCGGTTTTTAAGTGAGAGCGCAGACGTGGCTGCTCCCTCGCAAAAACTCGCGTTCCAATAGGAGAGTGTCCACAAGCTACTTTTTAGCATTCGTCAATAGTAGCTACACAATCGGACGTAAATATGCAAAGGAGCTCACAACAGCTCAAAACTTGGAGTAATGACAACTTTGTTGACAATAAGGAGAGGTACAAAAATTACCTTATCCGGTACATCACCGGCCTCTCCGGTACCATGGTTGACATTCTCTTTATCATCTTTTCGAACCTCATCTGGGATTTCGATTTTGTTTCGCGCCATCTGGAAGCATTGGCTTTTAGAAAGCAGTCTTCAAATTTAGAAATGAAAGAAAAGGCAAAGAAGATGTCATAAAGACTTGAATGCAAAGTGAATGCTATCATCCAGCACTATATTCGAATCAATACTACAAGTGCACAGACGATTTCAAAAGCGAGAGCGACTCAATAAAATACAAATTATAGCAAAAATTGGATTCGAGCGCTATGAAAACACGCACTTGAAGCAGATGCGATTAATCTAATACTCTGAAACTGGATAAAAGGTGAAGGGAGTTAGCCTCCTTCTCGAGCATTCATTTACAAACCTTGTTGAATGTCCAATAAAAAAACATAATGAATCAGTAGCAGACATTTTTTGACTTCAATTTGCATGCAACAAGTCACCTAATTCATAGTGATTTAGCGCAGGTGCTCAACGAGCTCATTGGTACACATTTGTCCACACAAGAACTACTTTATTCAAATTAGATTCTCAAAACTTTTTCATGGCTGCAACTTTACGAAACAACAAAACAACAACATGGTCATGGTCAGTCATAATTTATCGCCTTTTTATTGAATCTTGTTGAGTGAATAAACGATTTCTGACCTAACACCAACTGACTTGTTCTCCTTTCAAAGCATCGTAAAGGACTCGCTTATGTCTAGTACCTTTTTTTTCGAGTGACGAGTATGAGCTTTTCAGAAGAAAGGAAACAAGTTGATATCCACAGTAGAGGTGTTTAAGGAAATCATTGTAGGCCAAAAATTAACATGTAACACGCAAAACTCTGCTGCCCCTTGCGAACTTTAGCGGCCATGCGCATTATCCTGAAACCAAATTTGTTTATTTCAAATACTAGCGTACATTACTACGTCCTCAAGTCGAAGACAAAACTCCATTGATTTATGGCAATCCCTGGCGAATGCGTTTTTGAGAGATTCAAATACTGCTATGCACAGAATAATTCATTTTCGTGGTCGATGTGGCGTCGTAGATATATTTATGCGCCAAATGTGGTCATATATCGCGTTCATTGCAAAGCTGACGATTTCAAGACAGGAAACGTTTATGATATCCCTTTTCTCATTTATGACACAAATGACTCTGTTCGAGGAGACACCTATTCGGTGCCAACTCTAAGAAGTACATATTTGGCAAATAAGCATATTGAAGTTCCCGTTCAATTGCACACTCGCTCCGCGAAAGATGTATGGACTTTCAGACAACACGTGGTCGTAAACAAACAACTGTTGCGATAAGAATCGCAGAGATCTATTGACTAAAGGTGTGCTGAAATAAAATAGAGAAGAACAAACATTTAATTTATGAGATCAAAAATAATGAGGAATTGTTCGCTTTTTTACAAAGTGTCACTGAGCAATTGCCAAATTTCGGCGATTAGCTTCACATTTCAGGAAGTCCTGAATATAAGACCGCAACCAGATATAAGGCTATACATAGTACATACCTGCAAAAGAATGATGGCATGCTTGACCGTATCAAGTAGTCGGCTACTGGACGTGATCAAATCGTCCACATTTTTTCGATCTTTTTCCGAAACATGCTCTTTGAGTGCTTCGAGGCCTTTCACCTAAACATATGAGCTTCTATTTTGAGCCGTATTCAACTGTATAGTAGCTCACAATCCTTAGTCCAGAAAAAATCACTATGGAACACAGTAAAACTTTTCAAAATTGAATTGGGTCCATTTGAAAAAAAAATTCAAAAACGATGTCACACAAGCGTGTTTTTTATCCCGGAATAATCAACGAGCTCTCTTCAGAAACATCTTACCTGCAAAATTATATCGGATAAGTGATGATCTGCTTCTACAATCTTATGTTTCAGCGCCTCCGACGCATTTTCCTGTTTCTTCGGTGCTTTCCTATATCCCCCACATTCACGTATGACTGTCTCAAGAGCTCGTACCCAATGATTTCGTTCCTTTTCATCACGACCCTGAAAATCGATGTTCAAATTGCTGTACAAGAACAGAACATCTCCTTTCCGTTATGTCTGCCCTTCTTGATGAATGCATAGCTTTTAGCTATCCTGCTATTACACCCCAGAGACATACATTGTCGAACGGAGTGCAAGACACCGCTTCTTTTCCGAAAACTCATTTGCACACGGGATGAGTCCAGTGAAACATCGCGAGAAACCAGTCTCGACCAGTGTTTGCAGGGAGATATCGCAGATGTTTTTATATGCAGTCAACAACGGGGAATCGATTGAAAAATAATATAAAAAGCAGCAAAATATTTTTGCTACGTGGTCATCGGATTACAATGTGCCATATGTTGAGACGCAGGCCCTCAAAGGTAGCAGACATGCAAAAACTGCATGATTCATATAGAAACTTAGACCAAGACAAAGTTGACGCATAGCAATCAATTCTGAGAGAGAATGCGCAACATTCGACTGTGATATTCTGAACTTGTTCCTGGCCTTTGCCTATTTCTACTTCACTCTTGCTACCGCTAGAAGTTTGGTAAGTAACTGGCGAACTCTGACCCAGTTGATATTGTGTGGGATTGGTTTTTTGTTTTCTGCGCACTTGGACTGCATAAAACAAAAAATATCAAGATGAAATATTTAAAACCTAATTTCAACTTGTGCAACAAACAAACGCTGCATTTTTTTATTGATTTTGAACACAAAATCACACTGCGATTTCACTAAATTGGATTCCGGTAGGTGTAAGGTACAAAAAAATTATCGCGCTGAAATAAGTCAGTTGCAAGAACGAACTAGCGTGTAAAAGCCTCGTTCAAACGGTAGTTGAGAATTAAGAATATGTGTCGCAGATATCTGAACAAGGTGCACCGATCTATACCCGGACAGTTGCGGGTTGTAAGACTGCAACTCCACAAGGTATTCGGAGTCACGCTCGCAAAACAGTTTGCCATGATCATGAGATGAAGGCAAACAGGGCATTAACTTGACTATGGATCAACAAATATATTGTTTAGCCGAGAATTATACAATTATATGTAAGCAGCATGATATGTAAAGTGAGATTATCAAATGCTCAGAATGACTAACTCTCTAAACACATTTAATTTGAGCTCACCTTCTTCCATTTCCACCTCATTGTCTGCACGATTCCGCCTCACCCGTAAAGTCAACGGGCCTAATACGCACTACGTATGTTGACGCTGATGAAGGAAGGAAAAATGGCTTTTGAGCTTGAAAATGAGCGAGATTAGCAATGTTGAATGAGTGATTCACGGTGAATCACGCTATGAATCGGATTAATAAAGATATCGTGATGAGAGCACGAGAAAGTAGTATAAAGCAACAATCTGAGTGAGTCGGTTCAAGCAGATGTGTAGCCAAAAAATGACTTAGCCTCAGAAATTAAAGATTCAAGATACAACATGAGTAAGGTGGCTTGGTAGCAATACAATGTGACTAGTCTCAGATTTCTGGCAGGCTTAGCTAACTCAGCAAGTTTACGTTCCTTCTCAAAACAATCCAGTCGTGCCTGATTTTCTAGTAATATTATCTAGTTATACACAAAGTGTCAATTATTATGCGCAATCTTGTCAGGCCACATCACCCCATATGCTGAAAAACTGCTTTGACTTATGACAGTGAGACAAACATAAGCTACACGCAACACATGCAAGTAGCGGTGCGCAACAAAAGAACAACCAAATTCTGAACGTGCAAGAAGATAAAATTGATTCTTTGCCTAGTGACACAGGCCTTTCACCCCATTCTTCTTTTAGAAATAATAATCCGCCAAAATTGAGTTCCCACATATCTGGGATTTCATCCAAATGCATAGCTTCATATGCCTGGGGGAAAATTGATAACGAGAAAGCTGGAAGTATTCTAGATGCAAGCTCACTTCCAATGATTGTGCCTTCGAAGAAATTCACTCCAAAGAATACGGGCAGCAATGAATCGACGGCCGAGTACATTTTTTTGGAACACTAGAACATCTTGACCTAATTAACCACCCGCGACTAACAAGCGTCCTATTACTGGTAGTGATTAAAATAAAAGCAGCACCATTCAAGTAAAAGTATTCTGTTTGAGACAAATATAGTCTGGAAATTGTTCAAAGTCATTATTGGACTTCTATGCCAATTATTACAGCTAGAACGACAAGTCGCTATGTTAGAAACAGTCAAACTATGAATAAATTCATATGACGTCCGAATTCTTTGTCTTATGCAAAAGTAATGAGAGAATCACAGAATTAAAAGAAGTCATGAGCAAGTATCCTATCCAAACCTTATTTCAAGTGCCTGGTAAACATCTTTTAGAGAGCTTAGAAGTGGACAATTGTGGCGATCTCAGTTTACTTAATGCCGAATACAGTGCTTTTACAGACTACTAGAATGAAGCCGAGGTTGTTTCACGGAGAAGCCGGGAACTGGATGGTTTTTCAACCTCCAGTGGATAAAACCTCCCATTGAACATTGGGAGACCACCATCCCAACAAATACCCAGCTGCTACCGTCGTATAACGTAAGAGCGCTCTGGTGATGTTTGTTCACGAACTTACGCCGGAATGAATATTCAAGTTCCATGCCAAAATATTACTATGATTACTCTATCAACAATTCAGCATAATAATTCAATATACATGAGCATCGGTTCCTCATGCAGACGCGCGGATGCGACAAAAAACAAGTGCCGATAACATAATCTGAGATATATGGCACCGCTGAGAGTGACGGTCTCAAAAACAATAAAACAGACACTTTCTGCTGAAGTAAGCTGAGTCAAAAACGTGCCAAAACGGTCACAGGATCCTCTTGCAACAAAGAAATGTCCTCATAGGGGCAGGTTCTCCTTAGGGGTTTCTCTTTATCACCAAACCAGACCACTTTTTCTCGTTTAACACAATCAAAGCAAAAGAAGCTGTAACAAGCTACTGGTGGTGTCCAGTTCTAGAACATGAGTTGAGTGCAAGTGTGTAAGAAGACAAACGGAAATAACATCCATGACACCCTAGGGTCTAACTACACCTAGTTGGAAATCGATACAAACTCTAACTTGGTTAGCCAACAACGTTTTGTCTTGCAGGAATTGGATGCAAATAAAATTAGCCGAGATAAACGCTAGCAAAGCCGCAAACCTTCAAAGATGATGCAGCAGAGCAATCACGCCTACCAATTACAAACTGCAGGTCGAGGTGGTAGGGTGTAGCGAAGGCTGAGGCTGCCTCGCTAAATGGAACGCAAATCGATGCGAGAGTTTTGCGTTTCGTTGCGCAGCGCTATCCGAAGAGATCGCCGTCTTAGACAAATCTCAGCAGTCAGATTATTGATAGAAATTTTTCAGCTTTTATACAATGAAATTTATCTTGAGATAAAATTAGGGAAAACGAACCTGACTACAAAACTATTTTGCGAGAGAGGAACTTTACAGAAATTTACATTCTGCGTTATTATCTCTTCAGCTTTTGACATACGCAAAATTTCTTTCTTTTCTCTGAAATCTTATAATTACCAAAATTTAGGAACATAAATGAAGCTAATTATAGGGGGGACGAAATTTAAAAGATAATCAAGGTTTTAGTTGTATCTCACCACTCAGTCACAATTATGTAGAAAAAGAAACTAACGGATATTAGGAGGAACTGAAAAAAGTTGTAATTGTAACCTTAGTCCACAGACATCATCAAAAACATTTCATAGGGCCTCGAAGCCTATATCAGTGATTCTTGATTCGCATGTATGGACTAAAATCAGAAGTAACGACACGATTTTATTGAATGTTGGTGCAAGAGGACACACAACAAGAGCAGCAGACCGGATATTGGATGGAGCTCGCAGCCTGCCTGCTTAATTTGCGGAAAAAAAAATTACAAACGGCGTTCGAAGATGGTAGGACATATATTACAGAAAGCTAACGCGATGAATGTTCAAATCGAGCATCGATAATATGAGTCGTGATGCACAAAAAGTTTTTGTGAATAGGCAGCACCAGATATATCAGTCACTCTGTACTGTGACAGCCATGGGGCAATGTGAGCGTTGTAAGCTTTGAAAGATAGTGCAACAAATGTCCGAACAAACCCATCAAAGCTTGGCCAAGAAGTTAAAAAGTGTGGCAAACAACACCACCAAGCAGAAGCAATTCTGCAAAAGCTGCTTCAGAAATTACATTAATTTAGTTTTGACAAAAAAGGTTTCATAACAGCGTTATTCGCTTCACGTACCGTGGTCTTTCCAGAGCTAATATATTTATGATTGGCTCTAAGCAAGCGAGATAGGAGACGAGAGGGAAGAAAACTGCACTCAAGATGAGCCCAAAGTACAATCGATATCCTCGGGAAAATACAACGTTATCTGATTAGCCACTCAAGCCAAGTCTACGTTAATGAAGAGTAGGTAACATAACATGCATAGGTTTTTCAAAAAAATCTCTAAAGAAACGCAATTCTGATTGTGCTAGGCCAGTTGTCTACATAGAGAAGGGCATCTTGTACATGGAAAATGGAGATGTCATTGATTGAAAAGTCTATTGTCAATCAGAAAACGGCTGGGAAGAGGTACTAAACCTCTAAACCCTATAAACCTCTTTAAAAACTTTCTTCATTGATAGGGGTATTGCAGAATAGTGGCAATCATTTGATGTCTGGAACTGGTAATTAAACATTTTCTCTTCTCAGCAAAGATAGCCTAACCGTCCCCATTACCAAAAACACTAAAGTGAAACGCTACAGCTCAAGCTGCCAGCTTTGTACATGTTATTAAAGATTCCAGTAATTGCACTCAGCTTTCATTTGATATGTAAACACATATTAACGCATGGTTATAATATTTTTCATCTAGTAACGCTCTCTGATACTACTGGAAGGTTTAGAGATGCCATGTGCAATCCTGTACCTTTCTTTCGAGATTACTACATATTCTATTTCCCCAAAAAAATAATGCCCTTAAGATTTTCATGGAATCGACTCAAACTTGCAAGAACGATGTTCCACATTCGACTCAGCAACAATGCTATACTGTATGTGTATAAAATATAAACAAAAGCTATATAAGCTGGTAAATGCACAGCCCACACCAACAGATTGACTTGTATGATAGATGGCAAGTTTATGCCTTTTCCCTGCCTATAATTGATTATGAAGGCTCATTCTCTTTCTGCAGCCAGAAGAATAACTACAAGATGCTATGTAACAAGACCACAGCTAGTGGTCTTCTTGTAGCTTTCGCAAGAGGAGTTAAGATACAAAGAATAAAATAAGGCGCTCGGTTGCTACATATTACATTATCGACGTAAACATGCAAGGCAGAGTAACGATTGCTTGCAGACGCTGCTTGAAAGGCATTCCTATCTACGACGACTGATGAAGACGTCAAACATCTAGCTACTCGCACTGAAGTTCAAACATCAACAAAGCGAGGAAATCTTCGCAGTGTAACTCGCACAAACGGGACAACACGAAACAAAAATAAACAAAAGATAGACGATATGGGCTGCGAATTGCTTCTTCTAGTTATTTTATATATTTTTGTACAACATAACGCATAACCGGAATGTATCTGGAATTTCAGTTCAAAGAGCATGAAATCGAATAAAGAATATCGTAAGAGTGGATCATTCCAACAAATACTTGAGAAGGCAAAAAATCGCTGCTGTCATAACTGCATGATAGGATCATATTGCGCTAATAACGTCATAGAAATAAGCAATGAAACTTGATAAGAGGAAATAGAAGACTGCAAGGGAAAGAGCTTGTCGATTCCCAAACATGTAGCCTACTTGATTTCAACGTAAATTTGAGATTGCAAATTGTCTCAAGTTGAATTGATGGAACCGCATGAAACAGAAATAATGATGAAAGAAAACAATGAGAATTCGATGCTAGCCTACACAATGTTGAACAATTATAAAAGTCTACTTTTCCACACCCTCAGGAAACTTGACAACCACAGAGCAAACCTCGCGATATTATAAATTTATGTCATAGATCACCGATGCGAAAACCGGTCCTAATCCCTCGCAAAACATGCGTAAACCCACACAAATAATGCTACATGTTTCTCATGTTCGTGACTGAGTTTACCGTTGCTCACAGAAAGTCGGCGATTTCGCAAAAACATTACAAGACACTTGGGAAACAAACGCGAATCTCATCTGCTGTTAAATGGATTACTGATCAAAGATAACCTCACCTGTAAATGGAAAACCTTGCCATCAACGGTGACCGTGAAAAGGCTGTTGTTTTCTCCATCAATACCCACAACAGCACCATGGAGTCGCATGCAACCTAAAAACAGATTTAAGCGTGCAATCAAACAAGTTTTGCTCAAAAGCTCTACTTGAGAGCAAGGCATCTCAAACTCAGCATTTACTATGCCTATATATTGTGATTTTCGTGCGCATACTGTTCCCCATCCACTGCCTGCGCCTAAAAGGCGGCATGTTCTCAAAAATACGAGAATTGCTCACTGATTTCCATTTTCATGTCGTGATATGAGAACACGTTGATTCATCGATAATTCAAGACACTGATGGCAGACCATATATGCTCCAGGCTTCCGTGAACAATCAAAAAGTGAAATCATACACTTAGCAGTGAAATGACGTGTATCAAAAAGTACATTAGTACGAACATAGCAGGAAGACAAACGTCCAACTTTTTTGACTGATAAAGTGTTTATTACACTATCAGTTCGTAATCACAAGGACCACAAGGAAAAAACAAGTCACTCGAAAACACAGATCTCAATTGCAGTGAAAAGAAACCGATTGATGAAACAAGGTACATCCGCAAGACGTAGAAAAATAATTATGAAGTTTCTAAGTTCTGGATGACAGTGGTTGGGTGACGTGTGATGTTTGAATTGTTAAAATAAGCTATGCGTTACTGTTAAAATTTCAAACAGTATCAGCAAAAGGACGAAATGATGCAGCTATTGATTCAAAGAATGAATACGCCGCCAAAAATCGCATTTAGCAAAGACTGATGGAAAATCACCTCGCTGTTGTCCTTTCAACATCTTCTCCCTGGATGTGTAATAGAGTAAAACATCCTCTTCTAAACGAAACCATCGATACTGCCAGCCATGCACCATGTTCGTCCATTTTGATAAAGGACCCTCCATAACCTGCAAATGCTGAAAGTGCATTTTTTATGGAGACGTATCGCTTCAAAACGGTACGACAGTGCAATTAAAGTACCGCTAGGCATTCGCGGCCGATAAATTTCACAAGGATAGCGAGAGCCGGGGCGATGTGAGCGCGCAGCAGAGACACGCCCCTGAAGCAAAGCGTGCGCGGTTGCGAGAGGTCTCGGTTGTTTGTTGTTGTTGTTGTTTAGTGGTAACGCATGGAATCTTGCGCATAAAGGTTTTTGCTTAAGGTGCCTGGATTGAGAGCCCTGAAACAGTGATGGAATAGATAAATCGACTGAACAGAAAACAATAAAGATGTTCTTATCCGTTTGAAACTAGTTTCTCCTTTAAGGAATGGCCATTGGTTGCCAGCAACGGTTGTCGGTGTTGTCGGGGTCAGAGACAGATTAGATAGCGCGCGAAACGTGGAGGTTATCATGGGGTCCACGACCTGCAACCTCGGCAACCCCGACAACACCGACAAACGTTGCCGACAACCTATGGCCGTTCCCTTAGGGATCGTCCAGACCGCGCCGGAATCCGCCCAAACCCGCCCGAATACGTCCGAATCCGCCTGAACTGCCAATGCGCAGCAGGTTGCGTGCAAATTTGGCATATTGGAGCACACGTGCGATTGATTCTTCTAATATCGGAGTAGTTACAAAAGAAGATCGGTATTGACGTCGAGCTACGTGTGACTAAGATATATGCACTACGCGCGCAGTACTCCACGCGTGCTACAATATGCCAATTTGCCGCATATCCGCTGCACTTTGGCAGTTCCGTCGTTAGGCGGGTTCGGGCGGATTTGGACGTATTCAGGCGGGTTTGGACGGATTCCGGCGCGGTCTGGACGATCTCTTAGGCACGCGCCATACTTGATCCTCTTGATCCACTTCATCCACTTTACTGGTTAGTCAGTGAACTTACTGATAGCGAACTGGATCGAATAAATCAAACAAATAAAGTATGGTATGTGCTTAGATTGGAATAAATTGCTTCTGGGCTGACCACACTCAACAGTCTGCTGAGAACATGCCACTCCAAATTACTAGATCATTTTTTGCCCGAAACATCTTGGAAAAAAGGGGCCACATTGGCGTCACTTCAGTTAGGTACTTTACAGGCGATACACGTATGAAAGGTATGTATAAACGAGCGCCCTTGGCGACTGTCGGACTGATTTTACAATCTACCAAATCAATCCGCCACCCAATAATTCGACCGATACGCTATCGAGTTACGGTTACCCTTGTTGCCGGTGTCATATCGCTGGCAACTAAGTACTGTACTGCTATTAGCTATGTACCGCTATTAGCAGTTATCGATGGTGGATGATAAATAGATAAGCCATCATGAAAAAGCTAAAAAGCGGAAACTTATAAGGAAAGCTACCTAGCTTAGCTCGGCCTTTCGGCAACGAACATATATATTCTGAATCAACTTCAAGGGCTGATTACGAATATGTTATTTCTAGCTGCGGAGCATCATTTCGAAGCGAGTTATGGGTTTTTTCTTTCGCAAAATTCGCGTACTACTGAACATGGGAAGAATTCCTGAAGTAACAGTCTGCAAGAAAAAGGTGCTAAGATATCGAAATAACGCAAATCTGATCTTTTATCACTAAAAAGACGCTTAACGCAAGCGTATTAGCACGTAGATGCAATATCGTGAATGAGTTGACGAGTATGCCAATTCTGTGCAAGAAAGTACCCTCTCGCCTCGGAGTGTGCTCGGCAGCTAGGAACAGCTTATTGAATCAGCGTTTGGAGTTGATTCAGAATACATATATACCTTGCCGGAAGACCAAGCTAAGTTAGTTAGCCTCCCTTGTTAGTTTAGTAAAGGTAGCCAAAAAAATATTCTTGAGAATGCCAAGATTCATGGGAAGTTGATCATGGGATCAATCCATTCCGTAGCCGATCACGTCACTAGATACTTAACTTATTCATGCCAGAAGTTAAAAAATACTAATTGCGTAAGGCCTCGGGCAGAGTTTACGCGATTTGATCGTCACGATTCAATCGTCAAAGAGAAGTGTAACGAGTTCATTGCATGCCGATTTTTCTTCTATTTCGGTTGTGACAGCTAGTCACGATTAGTCATGTTGGAAAACTATCACAACCGAATTACAAGAAGATCAGCATGCAGTGAACTCGTAACACTTGTCTTTAGCGATTAAATCGCGACGACCAAATTGCGTGAAATCTGTCTGAGGCCTATGGAATTACGCATGAATATATAGGTCATTACAAGCTGATCCTAGCGTGTAATACCGGAGAGTGTGACATAAGTCAAGTAATAAAAGCAGTGATGGACAGCAGCAGCACTCAATGAGTTAGATCAAGAGGGGTGTATTAGCAATGCAGAGGTCTATTTGTAACTGAATAGTAGAAAATGAAAGGATGAAAACAAAGTTTGCCGGCCGCTGTTTGCCCAGACGATCAATGAATCAAACACCTGTAAACAACTAGAATAGCGTGATAGTGGACATGTTCAGCCATGTTTAGACATTTGACCACTAAAAACGCGATGCCAAGGAAAAGTGATGAGTTGTATCAGAAGCAATGTCAGCAGACAGAACAAAGTGATGTGGAGGAAAACACAAGGCTTATCAAAAATAGGTGAGTTCTCTCGGAGCAGAAACGAAACAACAAAACGCAGTATCAAAAGCAAGGCTTCCATACATGAATATATTTGCTGCTATACCACTCTCTACCGAGATTACATGAATGGATGGTCTCTTTCTTGATAATGCGAGGATGGCATTGTCATGTAAAAGGGCAGGGCATGTCTTTACTGTAAGTTTCTTTAACGAAGTTCATGAAGCCAGATAAACATCAATGTTTCCATGACTAAAAGACTTGAACCGCTTTGCACACATTGCTTGAACATGCTTGATGTTTTTTTGAGAAGCGGATAGTTCTATAAAAGATTAATCGCATGTATATATATAAACTTGTTAACCACAAGATCAAGCTTGTTTTGACAATGTCTGCAAAACGGCTCCGAATTCAAACAGAATGAGGGGTAAGAATGGGAGTACTCCATTCGTGAAATAAATCGTGGAAATATATCCTACAACGCGTCCCTGCACCATCGCCTACAGTACAGAATTAGCCGCTGAACGGCGCCACCTCTGCGAAAAGCTGCGCGCAGGCGGAGTCAATCGCTTTTCTTGGCAAGCTTTCATCTTGCCGTTCAGAAAATTGCCAGTCTTGTATCTACATGTCAGTCCAAGTGGAGGCAGAACACGATGAGTCTCTCCCTGGTAGTCAGCGGCTGCTCAGTCATGGAGAGCGTGGAATTCCACACCAACAACAGGTAGTACTCAGTTTTTGCATTTAGAAACGAGCAGGCCATTTGGGCGTACATAGTTATGTCTTGATAAAGTCACTTGCTGCCGTAGTCCATTGCTTGCAGTCACAAACAGAGGCACTGAAAACTATTCTTTCTTTTGCTTTTGCTTCTTCTGCTTCTTTTTATTTCAAGGGAAGTTTCCAAGATTGGACACTGACGCGAAGCAGAATGCTATCTCATTGAAGAGGAATTTTGATCCAAATGGAATTGGTTCAGTTGCAGTTTGGCAACGAACGGATTTAATATTCATATGGGAAGGAGAATGCAGACATTTGATACCGTTGATAATAACTCCCGTAGAGGCGTTGCTTTTAAAACTCTCTCGCTATCAAAGGTCCCCGAGTTTTGAGCTATAGCCATCTGCAGCTTTGAGCCATCTCGGTACAGTATCAGGTCGTAGCTGCAGAAGTTTCTGCATATTGATGCAGGCTTGCTGCTTCTAGATAATCGTTAAGCAGCTTTTATTGGGAAAAATAGAGCATTTCTGATGCATGGTTCGAATGTCTCTACAGACTCTCTCCACCTTTCCCTTCCCTCTCCCCCCTCAAATGGTCATAAAACCAATTGTAACCACCCGCGTCGCGAAGAAAATCTCGATAGTTGCCTTGAAAAGTTCTGTGATTCCTTCATATGTGGTGCATTCAGTGAATCGTTTATAGATCGAAGTTATCGCAGCCGACGATCTAATGGCTGAGGCCGTCGAAGAAGTCGGAGAGCTTGCTGCTGGTCGTCAATATGTGTACGAATATGACAGTATGGTTCACACACAACATGACCAAAATATAATTTATCAGGTAAATCTTTGTTTTGATATTAACAAGGCTTTATCGCTTCCTTCCACAGCTGTATCAACCTTTGGAGACCAATAATGGGACTTTCATCTGTCGAATCTGCTTGGAGTTAGGAGAAACTGTTGAGTTCATGAACAAAGCGTCGTATACTCATCATCGGTACAAAATTCATGGCTCTTACAACGTGAGTAAATTTCGTTTATGTTCCAAATCTATAAATTCATTTACAGAATAACCACGTTTGTCCTGTACTTCATTGTCGAGAGATATATGCTTCAATGAGTATTCTAAGGAAGCATCTTCTCGTGAGTAATTGACTAGGATTACTTCTTTTGCTATTCTAATTCTAGGTAGATCACAAATTGCCAGTTGAAATGCATCATCGAACGTTTTCCAGCATTGCCGACTTCGAGGTATTCGCTACTTTTATAATGACTGAGTACAAAGCTTTAGCTATGGAACTACAGTCTCTGTTTAGCGTTTTCGTCATCTAGTGGAGTCCATTTGCAACTGCACATTTATGTTACATACAAAGCAACCGCACAACAAGCGACAGATCATGCATTGCTCTAGAAGTGAACACAAACTTATACTTCAGTCAAGAAGGTAAGCACTACAGCTTTGTAAACACAGGTGTCCGACAAAGGGACATCATCACAATAGCTCATTCGACCAAACTGATCTGTTTTCATCGTATTCAGTTAAGGCACAAGCTGCCCTCGGTTCGGATGATGAAGGAGGGAGCTTGGTGTCCAGCTCAGATCTCTTTCAAAATCGATTCCAAGAGCGGGTGGGTTTCAGCCAAACTAATGAAATTTCGAACAGCTTCGAAGTCGACATTGCAGTAAAGTGGACGCTTTCTACCAGCTGTTTCACTATGGCCATGCGAAGGAGTACCGTGAACTTCACGAGGTCATGGATAATGCTGATGTCTTGACGGTTCGCTTGCTTGCTCCAATGCTTAGTTGAACATTTCTTTTTGTTTAAGCCTTCCGGTCTTATCGACGTTGTATTCCCAGAGATGCCGGGTTGCCCAGCGGACAGACCAATGCAGTATCTTCAGGTATATTTGAAAGATGTTTGAATGGTAGAATGTTATGCATTGTTTCTAGATTGACTTGATAACTGCTGATAGCTGCGTGTATTTAAATGTAGTTTATTCACACATACTGATAATCACCGATGTGAAAACTGGATACTTATTTTGCAAACCAATACCTGAGATTGGGATGCGCCAGCTTCTCATCAGAATCTTGACCGACATTTTTCTACAATTTGGTGTACCAGGTGGGTTTTTTTTTGTACTATTGAGGTGCTATCAGTTCGGCCTGATTCCAATCATGCTATCTATGTCTGATGATTTTAGAAGGATTCAGCTGTAGTCACTCAGTCACTCTGATACGTGAAGTCATGAATGCTATCGCTGGCGTATTTCGGGTAACGATGAAGGAAATCTTGTACGATGTGGGATCATTACTTATTGAGTGGTCAAGTCGTCTAAGGCCCGTATGCACGTGCATTTCGAGGAGGGGAGGGGATTTGAGAGAGGACGCGTCATATCCTGCTTTAGGTATCTGTTTCCATCTTCTTTTGAAGGTTCACATATTCTAAAATCTGATTTCAATGGATGACAGAACATTGCCGTACAAAAGGGGATTACTTCACATCTACAAAGTCATTTATCTCTCTGAACTCGACGAAATTGGTGTGAAATTGTGCTGAAGATATACTATGGCATGCACATGTGTATGGTAGAAATAAGTGGAATTACAGGATATCGAATTTTCAATAAACCACTGTTTGCGGAGCGGTGAGGTTTATGAAAAGATTCGCAACCTGCACGTCTCTCTCAGATCGCCTCCTCTCCCCAGCGGGGATATGTACGTGCGTATGGGCTTAAGCTTGTTTGCATTGCGTATTGATGACTTTCTTTTTCTGTGTCTTACAAAAGTTTCATGTCTGCGAAAGTAGCTGAAAAAGTAGATGCGTGCTCGAAGGCTGCATATCATATTTGTTCAAATCAGGCTCTGTATAGATTATCCAACTTCCAGAGAGCTACATCACCTTGCTTGGCTTCGGACTATGACGCTTTATTGCGTGCGTTGTACGAGCAAGCCATGTTCGAATTGCAAAGTAAACATCGATGGGTTGAAATGGTGCAGTTTACCACTATGGTATTGAACCAGTCTGGAAAAAAGTCGGCATTCGAGGTAGAACGAATTATCACTTGTCCTAGCAACTTAACGAGATCCTCCAGCGCATGTTTAATCGAAAACCGTACAACCTCCATGATCACAAGATTGCGCCATGGCTAATGGGTGAAGAGTTGTCTCTGGGCGATGACGACACGCATATCGATGTCGAATACGTTGAGCAAGCTGACGAAAGTGCTGAAAGTATCAGCGATGAGCAGTTTGTTGCTGACGCACCTCGCTATCAAGTCGGAGATAAAGTCTATGTGTGTTAATTTTCTGCAAATTTTTCAAATCTTTCGAAATTACTTAACGTTCAGTTACGCAATTTCGACACCGTGCCAAGCCGAGGAAATACACTGCCGTATCTCTACGGGTACATTGGAGGTGTTGACTGGGAAAGTAGCCCACATTTCCCATATCGCGTACATTTTTCGAAAAGTAAGGATCCATGGCCAAATGAAAGTAAGTGTTTTCACCATTGTTAGATTACTCAGGAGGAGTATAGTAAAGATTTCTATGGTAAGAGTCTATTCTTCTAGACTCAGTGAGCGCATGGGTCAATCCTTACGATCTGCTGCCAATCACGCATGGATTACTTGTCTTGCCTGATGAAGGTATTGTTTCCTAATTATTCCATCGTATTTACACACTTTTTACTGCTCATAGCGGTCATCATCTTATGAAGGCGTGTCATGATTCTTAGAGAAGTTCATTTTGTGACTTGAAAGAATTTATCTTTAGAACGAGCCCAAGCGGCAACATCCTTATTATGTTCTTGTGGTGGTGGGCCATTTGGTACTCCTTGCACTTTGTTCCGAAGTTATTTGTGCGCAAATGGCATGGCTAAGGCTTGCTGCATGAGCAGCGGCAAGACTTGCGACTATCATGAAGAATGTGCTGATGGAGACGATACTTACACGGTGACTTTGTCTGTTTGCACTCATTCTCTTTTGGTTTAAAATCCGGTCCTGTTTAGCGTATGGAATCTCTTACAAAAATGTTCACGGAGAACCAGCCAAGGAGCAAAATGCGGTGAGAATTCGACATTTCAAAAAAGCATCTGCACTATTGAGTTACGACGGTTCAGGCGCAGAATACCACATCTTATCCCCGCAGATACACCCGTACCAGGAGAACAGGACAACGTTGTTGAAATGCCGATGCTGACCAGCGAAAGGTCGCTATCCTTGTTTTAAATTCTTTTATTATGCCTCATATCCGTTGTCTTTCAGTAATGTTAGATCGAAAAAGAGGAAGACTGAACAGAATTTGATGGATGCGCTTCCGGAAGTGTCAACTATAGTTGTTGAAAATGAGGATCGAACACTTGTTCCCGCTTTGTCGAGAAAAGGCTATGACCCGGAAAAGGTCTGATAATCAACAACAGCTTAATTGTATTACTTGGCGTCGACAACCCATTCATGAAACTTCTATTTTGAAGATCCACGGCACCTCAGAAATGATGAGAGGTGACCTCAACGCTTCTACATCGACTGACAGCTCAGCTTTCGCCAAAAGAGTGAGTCTCCTTTTTGTTGGAGCGAACATTTCCAATCGTTCTAATGGTCACTTCTGCACATGGAAAGCTGGTTATATGTCATTAGGCGCGTATTTCGGCGATTGTGTCAGCCTGCCCATACCTCAGAAGAAGGTTTGAGCGTCTAAAAATTCTATTAATATCGGAGCTATACAGTCGAGGCTTATATGATATTGAAGATCGGAGATCGAGCAACTTCCAAAGGGGGGGGGGGGGGTAGAGGAACAAAAACTGCTTTTGGGCGCGCTTTTGCGCACCACTTGCCGATGTGCAAGAGCATATGCGAAAAGATTGCTAGAAACGCTTAACGGCGGTATTCGCTCCTTTGGTCCATGAACAGTAGTTCGGGTTCCCCATTTCTCTTGCATCTCAGATTTTCAGTAAGCCGCAAACATCTGCAGGTGATAAAATCGAATTTTACGCTGGCACTCACTTCGTTTAGGTTTTGTGACGAGAAAAACCTTTTTTGGACTCTTTTTAATGATTGAAAATCCTCGCCTCAGACCGTTTACAAAACTGGACAAAGCCTGCAGAATCAACACAGTACTTCGTTTCATCAAATGTCTATAATTGAAATCATTTCAGTCAAGAAGAGATAGTGTGAGGAATTTGGCTGGAACTGAAAGCAAGTCTAGTAATGTTGTAGAAAAAACCATCGGCATTGAATCTCAAGAAGAAGAAGTAAGTTGCGATTTCAAGGAAATAAGTGAACCTTGTTTCCGAATGGTTAGCAGCTTTTTTGTGGATGTTTTACTTTGGTTACTGGTATCTCTGTTTTAGGTGGCACCACGTGTACGAAGGTCTGTGAGGAGCTGCAAGACAAAACTATTCGAAGACTTTGTGCCACTAACATGACATCGATTTCACTCCTTGTGCTGGCGTGCTGTAACGTTTATGTGTTCTACCCTCGCTCGCTGTTTATAGCATGGTTGGGTACAATTTACGGGTCTGACTAAATTTGAAGAGCACGAGCAAAATTGTACAGAGTCCGAGTTGTAGTCTCATGACGAGTCGTATGTACAAAGTAGAACGAGAACTGTTGATTGTGGAGATTTTGACATGGATGTACACACGTTGTAGTGAAAAATCACTATGTTACCAGAAGCTAGTAGTTCGGGCAAAAAAACCTATGATGTTTCCAAAAATTAAGTTGAAGTTCGTTGGGAACTTATCGTCACAGTTTATCTACGCCAGAAACTCAGAGTTTCAATGACTACACGTTACCATGTTACATGAGACACATGGAAAATCATTTCATATTCTGATGTTGCAATAAATGGTTTATATCTCTCGAAGTATGTTTTCTAATTGTGAAGGTCATTGCCCTCTTTTATTCAATCCTGTCTTCAGTTACTATGGAGTGAGTTTGGCTAGGTTACGGAGGATTTTTGCAAATGCTCTTATCACGCGCTTACTTTTTTCTACATGGAGAATGAGTAAATGGGAATGCTTCTGCACTGATGCGTCAGAAGAGTTGACTGTCTCACATTATTATCCGTTCTATCGCTGGGGATTCGGCTATGCGTTTTTTTTTTGATATGAGGCTTATCATGTGGGAAGTTGAGCAGTCAAGTCTTTGAATTATCTTGAGCTCAGATCGTTTTGTTCTAATCGCTTTGACTTGTGCATAAGTTCTGTTTCTTGCTCCCTCTCAGTCGGGTTTAGAGAATGAGGAACACTTGGTACATGGGAGTGTAGCTGGACTTGATCAAGGTTATTCTATAATTTGCCTCTGACTGTATTTACGAAGTAGTAGATAGGAATGGGGAGGTTGCTAATCTACGATGCGCTAGAATTATCCTAAGACCATTGAACTAGAAAATCCAAACATTGTTCTTCTCAGTGTCAGAAAGTGCAATACATTTCTAACGATATGCGCAATCACGTGACATACATAGTGAAGCTTTGAAGGTTGTTTTGAGTTTGTCTAGTGACGCTCTAAGTTCTAGTCGAATATCAGTGGGAAACAAGTCTTTGATAGTGATTGATCGGCAACGACTTGCTGTTTTTATGCCAGATTGCGCACAGCTTGTTTTATTTTAGGTTCTGGAAGAGTTCTGTATCTAGAGTTACATTCGGTTTGGTTATTCCGAACTGGGGAAGGTTGAGGAGGTTTGTTTCATTAGCTTTGATCTTACAAAATCCACGAAACTTCGTGTTTTATGAACTAACCGTTTGAATAGCCGCTTTTTTATTACCAGGTGTTAGTTAAGCATACTATGACATGCAGTTCCTCTGCGACGGAATTTGAATAATTCAAATAATATCAACACAACTGGGTCACTTTCATGGTTGTGGAAAAAATTTTAGTGAGATTTTGAGAGATGTGGTGAAACGCCATTTTGAACTGTGTTTGACTCACCAGAATTGGTGATTTGAGTTTATTGCTATTTCAAGTCATTTCCAATTTGGAGTCATCTGACGTGAATTAGTTCTGCATTTCTGCTTGCAGGTAGTGCACCTGTACTCTAAAGACTATCGATTTAGGATAACAAAGTGTATGAGATGCAGTATCGCCATCTGCATCGTATATAATGTCAACTTTCTTGTGTCAAATCGTGCGATTATCACTTTCGTCACTTTTTTCCAGCAAAGTCCTGAGGGCAAATGAGTGTCATGGATGTGGGCTTTGCGCGACGCCTTGCGCGCTTAGTCGTCTATAGGGAGCGTTACGACCAACCACCGGATAGTGCTTGCACATTTGTGACAAACTCACTAATCCTAGAGGGAAAAGTCAATGTTCTTTCCGAAAAGGTGGGTCTCTCTGTACCAAGTGACCCATGTATTTGAACAAATTGTTTAGGAGACTGCCGATTTTTTGATTTCTATCACTCCTGACAAAGATAGAAGAGACCAAGTTGCCAATGGTTTACTATTCTACCTACTCACAGATGGAGTAAATTTTCACAAGGTCTGAAACACTTCTGAGCTTAACACTTTCTACATGCTTCCATTTCCGACTTTTCAGTATTTTCGGTGCCTATCTGTAATAGCAAACGATCAGTGGTATGCTGCTTTGTGCAATGTAAATATGATTCTGATAGAGTTATGGCCCAAACTGCAAGAATCGTGTCGAGAACTAATGCTGCAGTTCTTTCGAGAGGCTGTGAAACTCAATGTTCCTAAGGTGTGATGTTTGCACACTAAGCCAGTGATCTTGCTGAAGTTGCAGATTTTAGATTGAAAATGTTATAATGAATCTGGTTCGCTGTCTCAACAGCAGTGTCGAATGGAATCTCAAATTGCGACATGCTCTTGTAGTGAGTTTTTCCTTTTCCTTGCCGCCTGTTGAACACATGGAACCGTATTTATGCACCATAATGACATATTAGCTATCATAGCGAAAGAAGGTAAGAAGTGGAAAGTGCAAGCTAATGTGTTAAGTTTAGATTGCCACACTTCTCAATGAAAATGAGCAATGGATCATGGGTCTGAAGCCGGGGACATTCATGCTCTTGAACATCATAACTATATTTGGGCATTTGATAATTGACATACCTCCTGGTAGTCCCTTTGAGAATGTTCGAATGGCTATGATTCAAAGCCTCGTCTTCATAATAAGGTAATGAAAGTTTTCTCGTAAACTTCTTTTGCTTTTCTGTCAAGGTTGTCGCTCTAAAGCATGAGAATATTGACTGCGAATGTTAAGGAATCGTTTCCAAGACGTTTGCTTACTTGGCCGCGATCTGCTTCTTGTGCTGATGCGACTTGCTAAAATTCCGCAGATCAACGCTATCTGGGTAGACCTCATCACAACTCCATCTAAATTTGGACTCACTGACGGTAGGAGCTCGTGAAACTACTCGTAGACATGTACGGTAAAGAGTTACATGTTATTAAATTCCTTTTTCAGGGTTGGAGGAGTTGTTTCGTTCTAATGCGAACTTCTACCCTGTTAGGTTAGCCGCTGAGATGGCGAAAAAGATTGAGTTTATCATTTGCCAGTGCAAACCGAATGCTCAGGACAAACATTTTGAGTGGTTCTCAAATTCGGTGAGTTTTGAAAAGGAAATGTATTGCTTGCTCATCTTCCTCGTTTTAGTTTTTCCGTGGTCCTGATGGGGCCAGCCTGCGCGCCGAAACCATACGCTATGTTCAATATTTCTTCAAGCCTGATATGCCTGCACATGTTCTTGAAGCTCGTGGTCATTTTCTTTATTACCTACTTACGAGTATCCCTCCCAACGTGAGTTCATTTTTGAAATTGAAGAGCTTAACACGTTGACGACGAGCTGTTTTTTTTTGACGTCTGTCCCTGTGGACGAACGTTTCCGGGCATTTTTACGGCCGGTTGCATGTATGTATGTACCCATCTATGCGTGCGGTACAAAAATGCGTGGGCGAGGTAGCTCCGCCCACTTTTCAAAAGCTGGAAATTGCTCAAAACCAATAAATTCGTAAAAATTCCATCATTTCTGAAAAGGGCGGAGCTTGCCACTCAGGGGGTGGGGCTTGCATAATGGGAGGCAGGGTCAAAATTAAGATTATTCAAGGTTCCCCAGTCATCTACGAGCTTTTCTATGCGATTTGAGAACGAAAAAAGTTTTTTGTAGAGGGCAACGGAGTGGGCGGAGTTTGCCAAAAGAGGGGCGGGGCCAACATGAAAAACTTCTAAGCCTAAATTGATTATGTGTACACAAATTGGAACCATTGCGCACATTCGAACTGGTGTTTAGGGTGTCACGCACCATTGCGCGACATCGTTCACAGGCACAGACTGCCTGTCGCGCACCATTGCGCGACACTGTCGTCAACGTGTTAAGATTGCACTTGCTCCACTCTCATTACTCATTGTTATCAAATGGGATGACTAGACGAGAAAGTAAATTTTAGTCTGATGTCGAACAACAGTGGTGCAAGACTGTAGTTTGGTTTGACTGGCTAACATATGATCCGCACACATCTGTGCAGTTTATCGAGCCTGTTATGAGCATGATTCGAATAGCATTGGCCAACTTACCGTCAAAGGCCACTGCCATGCTGGAGTACGTCTGCAAGGTTGTTTTTAATTTTCGGTTTTTGTGTTTTGTTGAGAAATGAATTGTTTCCAGAGCATCTCGCTTATTTACCCTGCTCGTACCGAACTGTTCAAGAAAGCTGCCAATGATGCTATGCAAGCTGTTCATGAGTATTATCAGGGGTGAGCCTTTTTGCCTCATATTTCGCTTCAGATATGCATCGTATCGTTGCTACCGTATCTTGCTTTGCCCAGTCATTAGGTTGACTGCAAGTCGCAGCTCTTTACAGTGGTCTGCCTGCACTTCTCGACAATCCCCGCATCGAGCGCAGCATTCGAGAACTAGTACGCGAGACGTTCTTAGACTATTTTGCGCGAAATACTGCTGCTCCACCACCGCTGATCCCACCTCCACTTTCGGCACCTCAGCTGACTGCACCTCCACAGCAACCGCCAGTGACAAGGTGCGCGCCTACTATAGAAATCTTTGTGATGCTTTGCTCTAAATACATCAATTATCAGGCCTCAGTCACTTCCCGCAACTACCACAGCGCCAACTAATTCCAACCACACGACTAGCAGCAGAGAGCGGGGTCGATCTAAGGACAAGGAGAAAAATAAGGAAAACGAAAAAGATGATAAGGAGCGGGTCAAGCAGAACAAGACACCTAGTCCACCGAATGGCACCGTTATCTCGCCAAAAGTCGATGAGGTGAATGCAGTATTTTGCAATTTCATGGTATCTTGAAGGGTCTACAGGCGTATGTGGCAGATGTAGATATCTTTGGTCCACGAAAACTTGAATAATTTTTTCCGGCAAAAGCAGTCTATTTTCAGAAGGTGACATTGCAGGCGAAAAAGAAGGAGCGAACAAAGGAAATCGACGAGCTTGTGGAGCAGTTGCGAGACGATTTCAAAACCACGATGGTAGCATTGAGGTATGCTTTTACCAAATATGATAATAATCTATTTCCAGTTTGGGAAATGTTTCATTATGATACAAAACCGAGATCTTTACTTCCAGAGAAACTTATCGTGACACCGAAGACGATAGCGAAAGGGGAGAGGCCGTGCAACGGCTGCTCCAGAAACTTTTGGAGAACGTAAGCTGCTCAATTCTAAGCGAAGTGTACACTGATTTACTGGCAACTAACTAACTTGCGGCGATTTAGGAGGACTCTATTGACGATGAGCAACTCGAACTTGTAGCGCACTGCGTCCAGTTGCTGATGGGTAGTCCCGTTGATGGTAGCCGTTCCCTTCTTCCTGATCCAATTACGGAAGATGCTTTGGCGGATTCCTTTGGGCATCCTTTGTTCATTATTTTCCGGAATCTTTGGTAGGCAATATGATAGAAAGTTTTTTTTTCTTGCAAAAAACCAATGTATTTCAGCTATACACCTGACACAGATGCTACGACGAGGTCGTTGATGGTGAATATGATTGCAACAATGCGTGATTACGATAATACGGTCACTTACCTCATGTTATTTTTCATCAAGGTTTGTGAGCTCTTACTTGTTGTTATTTGATTTTGTTGCAGTTTACGAGCCAACGCAATAAGTTCAATCTTTCTAAGTTTTCAAATTCTGCTCCAGCACTGTAACGCATCAATAACATCATCTTTTGAGGCGAATGACGGACTAAGTAGTGAGTGTATATCATGCTACCGTGATGTAGCACGTGCAAGAGAAGAGGACATTGAGACGTTACTAACAGCGGACTTGCAGGTAATCACATTTTCGACCCAAATTTTGCTAATCCTCATAGGAGATCGGTGTTGACTTTATCGCATAGCCTAGCCCTATTTCAGCAATGTGCAATTGATGATGACCGATTGTTCGCGTTCCTTGTGCCATATGTGTTCCAGAAACTTGACGTAGAAGCTGGTGCTAGTCCCTCTGTACGTCATTTGCAATAAGAACATGCCATACGCGATTTGTTGATGTTTTACAGCATATCATACTTTCAGGTGTTCAATGTTGTATGTTCGCATATCGATGCTAGGCAGATCATGCAGTTAATCGGAGAGATTGTTAGGTAATAGTTTGTGGTGATCACTCTTTGACTCCATATCGATCTTTTCTGGTTCGTAGTTGATTTCTTTCTTAGCTTTTTGCCACATTTGTTTTTGTACTTTTTGCCTATTTAATCTACCGAAAATTAGTAATAATACGCAATGTTTTTCTCTGCCAATACGCAAGGATAGGTCACCACCATAACTTGATTTCGCTTTAGGGAAAATGTGACTCTGTTTCGAAAGGACTCCTTTGCTCAAATTGTCGCAGCTTCCCTGGATTGGCCTACTACTGCTCAATGGGCTTTTTGGCATTTGGGTACACATAGGCTTACTCACCTTAATCATGTCGTCATATCATACATTCGCTTCAGTACATGCCGAAGGAATTCCGGGCGAGTGGTTGATTCAGCTTCTTCCTAAGTTGAAGTCATCACAGCATGCGGAAGCCGCAGCCAATGTGCTTCTAATGTTGAAGCGAGCAGGTAAGGGCAGTAAATCAGGTCAGAGTATACGGTGGGATTTCCAGTCTTTAGAACATTTCTTTCCATTGCTCTATTTCAGATCGAGATCCCAATATGAACATGCTGCGAGCGCTTTTCTCGCGAGCTCCGTCTGCAGATGATACATTTACCGTCGACTGTATCAAGGTATGTTCATTTATCTTTGATTTTGCCAATTTGCACCAATACGCTGTCATCTAGATTCTTATCGAAGATCCGTCTACATGCAAACGAGTATCTGATAATGTGGGAAACTTGCTGAAAAAGCAAATGGCTGCTGGCGATCTGCACATGGGTGGGAGCAGCAAAGGCTCATCGAAGAAAAGTCCGCAAAAACTGTCGATGGAACAGGTTTGTCGTGGTTTTTGCCCAACTTCAGTCTAATATATAAGGCTGGGTTCAAACTGATTCCCATGTTCTGGAACTGTTCCCGCACTTCTGCAATTCTCGCACTGTGCTGGAACTGTGCGGGAACTGTGCGGGAACGGTTTCAGAACTGTGCTGCAGCCGCCCCGCACCGTTCTGAACGGCGGGAGTTGGAGAATTTTGACCGTTCTCAACGGTTTTTCTTCCAGATTTCGCTCATTTCGGCCTTATTTCTCCACCCCGCTTCCCTTTTTGACAGCAGAACTTCGAACTCGAAGCGGGGTTGAAGAATGAGCGCTTTTCTGCGCCGTGTATTCGGAAAGATGGGCTATCGTGCGACTGTTCATTTTGTCTTCGTGTTTTTTGCTCAGAACTACTTCATTTGTTCCGAGAAGTGGCTGCCTAGTTTCCATAGCCATCTGCCACGAATTAGGGTGTAGGAGAAATCCTGAAATTGCATGAGTTGGGACTTGTCTCTTGTTTTTCATGATTTTGGGCGTTCCCAGCCTTTTTCGTTTTTCCATATCGCTGCTTCTTCGTTCTTTCTTCTACCCCGCTTCTCCTAGTGATGAGAAAAGCTGTGAATTTGAAGCGGGGTTGAGAATTGAACGCTGTTCTACTTCATGTATCCGGAAAGATGGACTTCGTGCGCTCGTCCATCTTCTCTGCCATTTTTGTTCAGGCCTACTTCATGTGTTCTAGAGACTTGTCTATTTCAATTTCAATACAGATGCGAGACTACGCAGCGACTTGTTAGTACACATGAAGTAGGTCTGAACAAAAATAGCGATGAGAGAATGGACGAGCGCATGACAGCCCATCTATCCGAATACGCGGCGCAGAAAAGCGCTCATTCTTCAACCCCGCTTCGAGTTCGAAGTTCTGCTGATCAAAAAGGGAAGCGGGTGGAGAAATAAGGCCAAAATGAGCGAAATCTGGAAGAAAAACCGTTAAGAACGGTCAAAATTCTCCAACTCCCGCTATTCAGAACGGTGCAGCGCATGCAACACAGTTCTGGAACTGTTCCCGCACAGTTCCCGCACAGTTCCAGCACAGTGCGAGAACTGTGCGGGAACAGTTCCAGAACATGGGAATCAGTATGAACCCAGCCTAGAGAATCGTTAGCTCAATTCAAAAATCTGCAAATAGCGGGAAATTGCATGGCGGTCTTGAAGCGAACGCTCTTCCAGATAGCACCTTTGAATAACTGGTCCACTAGTTTATAAATAGATTTTTAGGTGCTTGCACACTTGGAACAGTTCACTCAATTATGCCTCATGAAAGAAAAGAAAATAGCTGAGCAGATCTTCTCTAACGCAACAGTGCTAGAGGCATTTGGAGAAGCTGAGAAGTAAGTAACAGTTCCCAACCCAGGCTGATCGTAAAGGCTAATAATGAATGTCATATTTTATTTTTTCATTTTCTGTGTTTTCGAATATAAAGAACAAAAAACAATTTTGGAAATTTTTCAAAACGGGACATTGAGATCACCGAGCAAATATTATAGTGTGTCTTGTCAGTAATAACAGCTGGTATATGGTGATTTTATAATTTAGAAATGACAAAGTTGCGCCACTTCGTTCGAAGTTTGCCCAGCTTTTCGCCGTGGTTAATATCCTTCGAGATGAATCTCGAGACAAAGAACAGTCGTCACGCACGTTACGTGGAAACCGAGGCAGTGGTGCTTCAACTTCAGTCAGCAAGGGCAATCGACATAAGGATGAAGACAAGGATGTGAGCGTATCCATATCCAATACAAACATTAATTCATCTTGGACAGCCGGATTTCAAAATTTTCTAATGAGTAGCGCAGAACTAGTTATGAGATTTTTAGTTTTGACAGTTTTGCTTCGCTGATTATCTTTATGTTTTACTATTTTATTATCAATTTTTTTTTATCTTCTTTCATTTACATGGAAAAGTTTTTTACGGCTTACTAATATTCCCTCGATGTGCCTCACGCACAAATTTGTTGCTACAAAACCAGTTCGTTCTATTTTCTGTTATTTTTCATATGTCACGAGACGTGCTATAGAGAGTTCCAAATTCCAGGAAGATCATGTTCCAAAGAAGAAACCACGTCGAGTGATCACAATCGGCTCATCGTCGTCTTCTTCATCCGAAGACAGTGAATGACGTCAGAGTCCGCCGCGTACGCACCCGGCCGAATCGGCATCCCCGCAGATAGTCAATGTTCGGCTGGCCACACCCGGAGGCACTCGATCGCCACCTCGTGGCGCTGTCACGAGCAGAACACGCTCTCCCGCTCTCACGCTATGAGCTGCCGCCGCGGTCCTCGATCGCACTGCTCGCTCTCCTCCTCATCTCTCTCACCTCGATCTCAGCTGCATTGTTTTGCCTTACTCGTACGTGTTAAAGCATCTTCATCATCATGTACGAATAGTTTTCTGCTGCGAGAGCGCTGCTGCAAATTCCCCTCCCCAGAGCATGAATTCGTTCAAATCAGATCCTAGGTGAAAAGCGATTTGGTCAGAGATGTTGGTCAGCGTAGGTTGTTTTTGAAAGTAAAACTGGTTAATACAGCACAAGTATGAATAATTTAGACCTACTTGGACATTATACTAAAAACATATTCGGGGTAAAGTTTTGCAAATTTGTTTTGATTCCCTTTTTATATTCAAATCTAGTATCATTTTGGTCGACGGACATACGGTATAGTTTGTCAATCAAATTTGACCAACTCTTTCTATGCAAGTATAGTAGAACCGAAAGCTTATTTTACATCCATGGTTTGACTTTTCTTCCTTTCATTCATGCCCTGGGCATGGGGGGATAACTTCTGCCGAACTGGAAAAACTGAACCGATGAACTGTCCACCTTTTTCCATGTGCTTTGACGGGTACGCGTGAGATCCTCGGAAGTATGCTTCATTATGTTGATCTTAGTGATTCATCCATAAGGCACTCAGCCATTGCCTTGATCGACTTTGTTGAATCTAGTGTTCTTCATATCTGAGTTTTTTGACGTTTATGTTCGCGGGTCCGTGGCTCGATTTATTCTGTTTGTAGAGTTATGACACTAAACGTATATTCTGTCAGTACGGTGGAAATCGCTAAAATTTCTAGTAATTCTATGATATTTTTGTCTAATTATTGTAAGGTTATTCAACATTTGACCGGGTCTCTTCAGTTTTCGTTGTTGTATATGTTCGCAAAGATCTACGGTAGTCTTTTCGTGCATATGTATATGATTCTTTGTTTCTCATTATAGCTTCATGGATCTTTGTGCATGCTCTACCATGATAGGTCTCTCTTTTATTACCAAAGTTTGAGTCACATCTTTGGTGTTTCCTCTAATAGATATTGTTCAATCAAAACTGAAGTCGGTGTTTTTTTTCTGTCCTACTTAGATTGATGTATGTTCTAGTGTATTCTTCAGGCATCCGCTATTCTTTGCACGTGTTGGACAGGGTTTGTTATGTTGTATAGGTAATTGACTAACGATGCAGATTAAATTTTTTATTATAATTTACTAATTTTCGAGGGAAAAGGTAATTCCTTCAGTATGGATTCAGTTGTAAATGAACTTTAATGGCGTAGATTTTCGAGATCTCCCAATGAAGTAGACGTATCAAGTTTTTTGCATAGTGCATCATTCCACAAACAAGTAGCGCATCTCATTGAATGTTTTAATATTATATAAATGTTCTTGTTGTACCTTGAACCTCATCAAGTTTGATAACAAATGCCAATGATGCTTATTGGAGACTCTCACCGTTCAATGGTTGTCATTAGGCTCCCATTTTCGCTAGAGTTCTTTGGTTCTATAACGCGCTCATGGTTGCTTCTTCTGTCTTCACTGGCTTCCTTTTGTCTCTCGTTCGCAGCAAAGAGGCAATTCCATGATTTCGCACATGTTTTAGAACTTCCTAGTTTGAAAAAAGAAGAAGAAATCTGTGGTTTTCTTCCTTCTCTTCGCAAGTTCTTCTCTGCTTTCAAGAGGGTGCATGTGTCTTGTATCCATCTGATCGTTTTTTGCGAAACATTCGGTTTCGCTCAAATTTGCCACTTGCTGGCATCTAGCCAGCCTGAGAGTTTCACTTGACAACGAGAGCATGACTTGACTTTGTAAATATACTTTTTCTACGCCAAGCGACAATTCCTCAGCTAGACCGACTGACAGGATCGCGTTTCTCAAAATTTTAGGCCCGCGAGAATTTTGAAGAGCATTCCAAAATTTTTCCGGCGGAGTGGCTAAAGCTACACATTTTTACTCGCAAAATCTTTTTGTCCCTTCCCTTTCACCAAAGAAAAAGGTTTCGGGACGTCGCTGTTCGCTTCTGAGTCTGCGTCGATGTGGCCACCTGGTGAAGACAAAACTGATTTTACTTCGACTTAGGATATGTTCGTATCTGTTTGTATTTGCATAGAATGGCGTGCTGGTGCATTGGTTACAAAATATAGGTGATGATGTGAGTTTTTGATGAGAGAAAAATGAAAATAATTGTTTTTCCTAATCGAATGTGCAACTGGATCCTCGCAAAAAAGGACTGCTTTTGCATGCTGAGTTTTGCTTTTTCAAAACGAAGATTCATGCCAATAAGTTTTCTCCTTTCTGGACCTTGGGGTTTTTTTTGCAGATGAAAATTACTGGACAGTTTTTCATTCCGAATAATTCCAGTAATTTATTATCCGTGGCAATAGTATGACAGTGATTGAATGGTCTTCACGTCGCTTCCTTACCTAAGCTCGTTGAGGGTGTTCTCCGCCCAAAAACTGACTCCCATGCGCAAATGCCTGGAAATTCTCACATTTTTGGCTGCAGAAATTCATAAACAGATCACAACCTCCATTGTGGTTCGCCATGTAGCCAAAAGTTGTATACACCTAACCACCAAATTAGTCGTCTGTGCGCTCAGTATGGGCTGAGAACGATAATTAGAAAATCAAAAGAGCGAATTTTCAGAAGGCTAGCCATATAAGGGCATAATTGCTAATTAATGATGAGCAAAAACTGCAACTATTTGATATGTGACAGTAGAGGGTGAAGCTACCTCCTGGCAAAAAAATCTCTGCTAAATATCTGCTAGTCGAATTGTTACAGACTTTCGACGAAGCATGTCAAACCAAACTTATTTATTAGCCAACCTAATATCTTGCAAAACATAATTAGCCGACACTTTTCCTCCGCCCAATCTACTACATCATTGTCTCTAATGGAGGGAGCCAGCAATCTTCGTATGCACCATAGTGAATTTTTTTACGCTATGCCCGTCCCTTGCGAATTTTCCGTCAGCCACGTAGATGTATAGGCAACCAACGTGTCCAGTGCAACAGAATTAGCTAAATTTCTTCTGTCTTTCATGCAAGCTGCGGGAAAGTGGAAGTGTGGGACCGCAAAATCCCGGGAGGATACAGGAAATATTGTTAGGTTGACGAATCCCTCTTCAAGTTTTTTTTTCAATATTTTCTCCGGCAGAACTGCAACGATAGGTTTAGTGTACAGAGTGTGACCATTTTCCGCTCAACTCACTTGTTTTTTCGATATTCACTCAAATGCAGAAGTTTGAGTTGCCATTCAACTCTAGAAAATCTTTGTGCATCATTTGAGTGAACTTGCAATACGCTTTGGTTATTTCATGGTTAAATATATTTGGTGGAGAGAGACAAAGTGCATTTTTACAAGGGACAGGTTTTTCATATCGAAAGGTTTTCGAGAGTGGAAGAGGTAGCTGTTCCAAATATAGTCTCCGATATAGCTTTACTCAAAAATTTTTTGCAACAAATGGAAGTTTTTTTTGCTACAGTATTGTAACTAATATAAGAAAAAAGTCACAGATGAAACATGTGCACTGTTTCAAAAAGCTAAGTTGGCTTGCGACCAATTTTTCAACCAATTTTTCCATGAACACCTTCACAATACCCCCCCCCCCTTCTCAGAGTGGGTATTTTTCTACCTGTCCTTTCTCGGTTCAGACTACTTATCCTCTAAAAAAAATCAGATGATTGAATAAAGCTGCACTCTGGCCCTTGCGACACGACGATGGAAGGACTTCCAGCCGGCCGGACGCTCGCTTTTCTCCCGAATGTTGTTTTGATGGTGATCGAGCGTATACGTGCTTCGAGGTGACAGGACGATTGCTATGTAGTCTCTTCTATTGATTATTCTTCAAATTTCCGTTGAGCCAAGGCAGTGCCAGGTTTTGTTCATTAGTTGAGAAAAGCAGAACAGTGTCCGGCTTGTATTCAGCTGTGTAACTCACAGAAACTCTTATCCAGTTTTTTTTGAAAAACGCGTGGACTGAACTTCGTACTGCCACTTTGAGAAAGCTTGAGCTTCAATGAAAAAATGACAGATTTGCGAATAAGAACTTGTCCATAGTGCGCGCAAAGCGAACGTTCGCCGAGTCCATTAATTTTCGTTTTTTCCTCCGAACACCTCAACGTCGCTGCGACCACTGCTGATTGCGCGTAGCTAGTCATGTGATATTTGTTTTGACATAACACCGCCTCCCTCCTCCCCCCCCCCCTTGGCGAAGCGAAGATAATAGATGTATGTACTGTGCACGATGACTGGGACAGCACGAGATGGGACCAGTGTCTGTCCCGGTTCCAAACTAGATGGGGGCCAATTTTTATTGAATGTTTTGCTCCGTGCGTCTGTTGCCGCTCCTTCAGCCAGAAGTTCGCGACAGTCACGTGCTTCAGTCGCCGCGTTCCTATCGCTGTCGCCTGCGATATCACGGACGGCAACGATTGGCGCCGGCTACTGCCAAACACGTGTGTGACGCAGTCGGCTTATGGTCTTAGTGAGTGTGCTTCTGCGCTTCTGCTCGTCCACCCACACATTCTGAGCGCTTTGCATATGGTATGTTCACATAGTCCATTATCACATTTCTTCGGAATTCTCACGAGTTTTCTCAATCGAATTGACTCAAAATGTTTTCTGTTTGCTGTCATACTTCTGCGTTGTTTGCTTCGAAGTCAGTTTCACTTTCTCAGCTCCGCTTCCCCTCCCTGATAAGAGCTCCTTGTTTTTGATTTTTTTTCGTACTGTGCATTCCTTCGAATGCTTGTTCCCGTAGTCTTGTGCTTCTCTTTTTATCAGTAGAAATCTCTCTCATGAATTCTCCTGAAAATGGTGGGATTTTCACTGTTTGAAAGGGGAATTTTTATAGTTTGTCAGTATGAACTTGATCAAGAATTTGCCGGCGTAAAAAAATTTCCAGCAGTGAGTCAAGTGTTTCCGTTCTACAGAGCATTTGAAAAATTGTTACGATGGCGCGACCGCGCGCTGCACCGGGCCACTTCCGGAAACTGCAAATTCTTATTTTTCGTCTCTAGTCGAGTGGTTTTTTGCTTCGTATGATAGTATTTAGACACTGGAACTGATTGAGCTGAGCTTTGAGGTGATCTCTTTTGTATGAGCGTTTTATGCTCCCATGGGGCAAAGTCCGCAGTCAAATCCGTCGTCACGATTTCGTAAATGACCTACTTGATCAGAAGTGGAGTTTTCTTGTTGCTATGTACCTTATCGAAAAATTCACGCGGAACGAATTCCAATAACCAAAAACCAAACAATTCTCGGTAATCTATAGAAGAAATTGGGGATGATCTTTTCGAGCGTTTTCCTATTTCACGGAGGTTCCCAAATCTCAAACTCGTTTTGAAGTCAAAGATAGATTTTTCTAGTTCATATATTCTACCATGTCTACCATTTTCGTTTATTTAGCCTCCAACTCAGTATGAAATTCGAGTACCTTTTCAATAGAACATCGAGAAGAAGCGTAAGGCTCTACATATTATGAAATGTGTGTGACGTGGTCTAGCACGCAATCTCTTAGCATTACTTTGCATATAAAGGTTTAGCTCTGATGGCATAAGTGGGGGGAGGGGATGCGATCATTACCAAAATTTTCTCATCACAATTTCATGAATTATTCCATGAGATGTCCTTCTTTTGTACGCAATAACCACCTTTACACCTGTGCGAATCAGTGTTTTGTAACCTTGGGATTCGACGTCTCTGTGCCAACCGAGATTTTCGAAAGTTTTGTCATCTTGACCATCGTTAAAAACCTTTTTTCTTGTGGGGTTTTAATCTGGTGTTTGATGGATGTTGCCTAGGCAACTGCGCTAATCTGCAATCCTAGGAGGGTGGACGAGATGGCGGAAGGTTTCTGGAATTCGGTAGCATCAAAGTTTCATATTCTTTTTCTTTATTTACACCTTCTTGTTTTCTGGTTGAAGTGTTTGGTTTAGATTCTTTTCTTCTGGCCGCGATTGTGTTTTAGAAATTCATCAAGATAAATTCTTCATAATCGTTGTTATATTGTGAAAGTCATCCATTGTCGTTAAACATGGTAGAGTGGGCATCTAGCGTTTCTCATGACTCTTTCAGCATATTAATAGATGAAGTTCCACTTTTTCTTCTAAACTCCTGAAAAGTCCTACCCATATCTTTTCATTTGCTGAAATTTCGTCATCGACTCTATAATCATAATCGCGGCAGTTTTTTCTTTGCGTTTGGTCTATTCTGCGCTATTTATATTCACAAAGCGCAACTTGTACATATATGGATGGCAGCTTCTCTTTGTGAAGGTTACTTTCATCTATTTCTTTTTCTTCTCTTTCTTTTGCTTGCTCAATTAGTCATGGTGAATTAGTCATGGTACATACATTGCACGTCACAGGCATGCAGTGTTTTTCTACTAGGTCTTCATGTTACCGCTCTTTGTTTGAACAGTCAGCTTTCGAACTTAAGCTTCGGTTCAAATAATTTGAACCGAATCTTAAGTTCGAAGTTAATTGTTCAAACAGTTAAGTTAACAGTTCAAACAAGCTTAAGTTCGGCACCTTGATAGTTTTCGTACTCTTTGATTCAAATAGCTTGGCGGCTGGAAGGCGGGGCTTCGTGACCTAGCTAAGGCTAGGTAATGAGATAGCACGCGCGAAAGAGAGGCGCAGACTGTGTCGCGGGTGCGAGCGGCCCTAATTAGGTCACAAAGCCCCGCCTTCCAGCCACCAAGCCAGTTAATCAAAGATTATGTTTGCGATTGTGGTGTGACTTTTCTACTAAAAATACATAAACAAGATTTCAGTCAATTTTTGTATTTGCTTATCGGCTTCGGAAAAAAAATCCGAGCACAAATCGCAAATTTTTTTTTCAGTTTTCAAGGCCGCTTTCTTCGTTGTACACAGCTTTTCGACTTAGTTCGTTTTTATTTTACTTCACATGTGTTCGTTTATTGGCGGGTGCATGTTCGAAACCTGTTCCCATACACTTTATTTGTTCGGGAACGGCAATTGATCGTCTTCTGTTCACTCTTAAAGTTTTACTCTTATCCGTTCCTTTCTAACTCCTAAGTTTTCAAAACCTTGTGTGATGACTGGTAGCACCCGCAAAATTTAACATGTGCTTCTGGATGCATGAATTGGCCGTCTAATCGCTCCAGTTAGCCAAATAATCGCTTCCTCTCCCTCTCTCCCTCAATACATCGTCCGCTCATCAATCTCTTCCTTCCCGTCTCTGCAGTTTCATTTTCTTTCAACTGCTGCGAAGCGCTTGCTAAACGAGCTGCCATCGATTACTGCTATGGATATTTCGAGGGGGAAAAGAGTTTGATGAAGAATGCGATAAATGCGATGCCATGTCGTTTCCGCACTCCGTTATCATTCAGCGTTTTTCTTCGTCATAGCTGATATGTGCTAGGAATAGAAATCGCAACGGGTTTTCTCTCGATATCTTTCTTTTCCTGTGCGTGACACCGTTACGTGGGTTTGTTCTCGTTTTTTTTTCTGCAGAGAAGTTGTGAAGAAAGAAAATGAGAATATTGTGTTCTACTTTCCATTCATCGATTAGCTTCTCAAAAAAATTTGTTATGTATTGACCATCTAAGATTTGATTAATTTGAAAGGCATAATGTAGTGTCTTGCTCAACCTTACTAGTTGATTTCAGCAATAGCTGTTTGATTTTTTTAATTCAAGTTGTTCTTCCAGAGTATCTGGGTGGTTATGGGTTGCAATCTCTAGTTGGACTAATCTATTTTCTAATATAAGTATGTTTTACAGAAACCCCTGGTTGTAAATTCTTCACCCTTGAATTTTTTTCTATCCCCCAAGCGTTTTCTGCAGATAGGTTTGAAATGTGTAAATCAATCTTGAGGATCTAGGCGCGTACCAAATTTATTGGCAAAAATTTGGTAATCAGTTGATAATCATTGTCTAGGTGATCCTGAGTTCTGGGTATCTCTTCTGGAGATTGAGTCATCCAAAGTAAGCCATCTAATTTTGCAGCCTATGGGTCATTCGTGGCCGAGAAGTTGAGTCTAGAATCTCGTTTATTACTGTACTTTTTGCGAGCGTACAAAAGAGCCTTCTTGAGTACGGTAATGGGATAAAGTTGAGAGTTGGTTTTTCGGACACGAATGAAGGACAGAACTGCTTCGCGCGTTGCTGAATTAGGGCCTCCCAATCACTATCATCATAGAAAGTCCAAATAGCAGATTCGTCGTTCACTGTCTTTGATGGGCTTGGACGGAACTTTGTTTTTCCAGAGAACGGGGTTTAGAAGCCGTTGGATTTCATAGTCGAGATTCTATATTTCGTCAATCTGTCATTCTAACTGAGTTTCTGACAGTATCAATGCATATCTTCAAGCTTTTCATTTATAGTTTTCTTCCCTCGCTTTCGGCGTGCTTTTTTTCTTGTGCGGTACGCTTGCATTATGCGAGATGTTTTAGATTTTTCTTCTCTTCGTTCGAAGAACTTCAAATCGACGTGATCGTGTTCATGTCGGTGCCGATCATCAGCTGATAGACATCGATAGCAATCGATTCCATTATTATTAGGCTACACTATCATCTGCAACTATTGCTCACGTATTCTCATTCCTTATTCTACTGACCTACGGAGCGGCTTGGCCTTATTCGTGTTTAGTCTCACATTTACTCACTCTATATTCACTAACTCTACTCGATTCTACCACAGAAATATTGCTAAACTTATCATAAAGTTCTATATTCGCTCACTGTAATCTTTATTCGGTGTTTTTCGCCTCGAAGTGTTGGAAGTGATGGTTGCCACGGTTATACATGGCATTGATAGATCGGCTACAGGGGTGAGTGATGCTTTCGCATCGTTTGATTTGACTAGTATCTTGTTCATAAGGCTTGCAGTTTATGGATTTGTTTGAAATCAAAGCAAAGTGTAGGGAAAACATAAATCTCCATAGACCATCTTTATCAAGACGCTAGCGTGGGAGCCAAACTTAGTGTTGTTTAAAAATCATATATCAGCCTAGCGCTTCCTAATTCCAAGGATCGTCGCGAATCGACGCTGTTCAAAACTTCAGAATAGGTTGTTGTAAATTAATTATGTCCTCAGAATTTTCCTACCGCCTGGGCAGTAGTGCGAAATCTGAAACTCATTGGCAGACTTTTAGTGTCGGTAATAACGTTGTTAGGCCCGGGACATATCTCAACTAGTTTGGTCCACGATTTGGGGGCAGACTACAATTGCAATATGTATAACTTCCGTAACCTAATTGTCCTTTCTTTTATACATACGGAATGCAACTATGTTGAGTTAAAAACCATTGGACTGCCAAATCGCGTGTGTCGCTACTAAATTCGCTTGAAGTATGTTTGTGAACTCAAAGTCCCCTCAAAGAGCACCATCTATTCGTCTAGAGCCGTATCACAATTTTCATTTCACTTCATTTCACGGGTCGCATTTTTGCGCTCATCATAGTGACGAAATCTGTGAGTATAAGGCCATAAATACCTTACCTGACTGCTCTACCAGTATTATCGGTGATAGCCGGTCAGCTCTCTTGCGTATGTGTTCTCGCCTGGTGACTGTGTTTTCTTAACATTTTTGTGAAAATGTCGCGAACGGAAAAGGAGACCGACCATTCAACAGCGATTTCAGCGGCGAAAACGTTAATGTGTAGCATCATGAAGGAGAATTTTGTTCGTAGCACAATTCATTCAATTTTTTAATGGTTTTAGTTGTTTTCTTAGAAGATTACATTTAGTTAGTGCTAGGTTTAGACCTGTACTCTGCAATCAAGATCATTTATACACAAGATTATCTTTCCGAGTCTGACCTACAATATAATATCTTGTGTGCCGCACCTAGATTTACCATTATCAACTTTACGTGAAAATAGTTTATCATAGTAGACCGCAGTGGAATTTGCTAAGTTGTTAATCTTTTTGTTATCCACATGGACTATAGTGTGTAAACACCACTAGACTAAACAATGGCAACCGAAAGCACTTCTCGAAAGGTTCAACGACTCTATCCTTAATTGTCTGTCTCTGGCGTTTGACAGACTTCTTAATTCTTACTTTTTCATAATCTATAGGTAGTCGAGGGCGCATTGTCCTTAGTAGTTGGATCAGAAATATCCCTCTAAAGTTTTTGATAATTCTGAAAACAATAGTTATAGTATCATAATGTGGTAATGTTAGTACGTAACGTGGTACGAATAATTACCTACCGTAACCATTCGAATATGACAAGAGTCTTTTGTTGACACCTGAGGGAAAAGATTGCTTTGACTCGACCTATCAGGTGCTGACGAAAGCGAAATCGCCATTAAGCAATAAAGATGGCTGAAGTATTACCATACCCAAGTAGTTATATTTTCAGAGCAGTAGTTCGAGGAACAATTGTTGCTTATCGTATATCCCTGTTTTTATAGAGTACAGAATTGCTACGCGTACGCGTTGCAAAAGGCGAACGGCTCGGTAAACGCGACCTTTTCGGAGTTGTTAGTCCTTACTGTGTGGTACGTCTGGAGAAAGCTGATGGAGAGTTGATCGATGAAATCACTTTGGAGAAGAAGAAGAAGGTTTGTTGATTTTTTTTTTGCATAAGAGATATTTGCACGACTTTATTTTAACCTACGAAAATATGTGCAGTATTTGGAACAGATGCTGTAATTGAATTGCGGTATTTTTGGCCCAATTTTGCAGTCTAAAAATTTTCTCAATTTTTTTGGAGAAGATTATAATTCTTCTAGTAAAGGGCATTTAACACGTTTTCCGAGATAATTTGCTGTAGGGTAAAGCCCATCAGAGCTTCTTCAACCCTCACTGCGGATATCTATGAAGATAAGATGTACATAAACTTTTACTGTCCTGTTTGAATAAGATACTGGGCGAGATTTTCATCTGCATATGTACTCACCCACCTAATCTCCACCTAGTGTTTACCTACGTAGTGGAGTGGATCAGCTTTCAAGCCCTATACTAGTGCCCCGAAGCGGGAAAAACACTTGGAGGAATGTTTGATGCAGGATTAGCTAGTTGCGCAGAATGTTTATTCGTAAATGTTCCGTCAAGAATTATAATTATGTATTGGATTAAATAATGAGTACACAAAATATTCAAGAAGTTTTTTTTCGTTCTGGCTTCTATATCATATTCCCATACAGAAGTTATTTTTTCAAGATGTTCAGCTCAACCGAAATGCGATAATGGTATTAGGCTGCGTTAACTACAAAATTATTGCCTCACAAAGTGCCTTTGCCTAAAAATTACTTAAATGGTTAATTGTATTACCAATCAGGTTTAGACAAATCCGACGGCTACAAACGCAAACCTTTTAATTTGGGAGAACTCGTAAACATGCAGCATCACCGATTCTGCTTAGTTTTCCAATAGGGTTGTTTTGAATAGAAGATGAGAATTTTTTGGTGAAGGGCTCATTCGAAAAACGAAGCTTGTTTTCCCATAAATCGAGAGGCTATCTTTTTGGTCAAGTAAAAACAACATTTTGATGAGAACTCCAGTTCATTATAAATTCGATATCTTTTCTGAAATTTCTCAGTTACGTTTACTTACACATATTTTCGTTTCAGACACGAGATCCAGTCTGGAACTCAATTCTCACATTTCGTGTCACACGACAATGTTGTTTGAAATTCTTCATCTTCGATGAAAACAAGATTGTGAGTTTGCCTTTATGTTTTTTTTTTCTGTGGTAATCAATCATACGCGATGAAATCGATAGCAGTCATATGAGTTGAACGTTGATGCTGCGAAAAATGATCGTTTTTCGGAGCTGATTCAACTAATTTGCATGCGGTCATGCGCTCGTTTGGGGGTAGTAATGGGTTCGGGTTATAGTTGTGAGTAGATTCGCTGTTCCTTTGCGAAACTTACACCCTCATTTTGTGTTAGGTAAAATGCAACTAACCTGGTTTTAGTGTGATTATTGAAATTTCAGCGGAAAGACGCTTTGCTAGGCTCAGTTGAGTTTGATTTATCGACGGAGAATATCCCAAACGACACTAGACCTCCATCTGTTCATCCCCTAAAAGGCGGACGTCATAGGCAGGTTATTTATGAGAGTTCGAATTCGGGCTACCAGTATGATATTTGCAGGAATATTGGTAGTCTTTGGATTGGAATGCACTATCTGCCACCGGATCAATCACCAAGTGAATCCACCAGTGACTTACAAGTGAATAGTTCTATGCCTGAAGGTCAGTGGCAATTGTTGTTGTTCCCGAATCTTCTAATTTAGAAATATTTAGGATGGGAAGAACGTGAAGACGCAAATGGTCGCACATTCTATGTCAATCATCGGGAACGTACCACACATTGGGATAGACCATCGCAACTGAGTGCAGTGTAAGCTGCAGTTATACATAGTTTTCTCTTTGTTAATAAGTTAAAGAAAAGTTTTTGATTTGCTTTCGATTTATCCCAGTTCGACTTTTTCTCAATGGATTTCCCAATCTTTTTTATGTATCTGTTGATCGCATTTCTGTTCTGCCTTTTTAAAAAGCATCCATTTTTGCGCAAGTGCAAGAGCTTCTTAGCATTAACAGTCGTTCGCAAAGCTCGGCCTAAATGTACTCGATTTGTCCATCTTTCATACTTTTCTTGCATGCAGGCGCAATATTCGGTGAATGTTCGCTAGCACCATATCCACTTTGAAATGCCTTCAATTGAGCAATTATCTCTCTTATAATTATTATAAATATGTTTTGTAGCCATATGATCATCAAATTTTCTTCTTCCTTTGCAAAACCGTCAAGGCTACTATTGCAATTTATGACTGTTTTGCTTCTTTGTCCAAAAAAAAACAGCTTTACAACCTAGTTATGAGGCTCGTAGAATTTGTAATCACCATCTCTTTTTTTGTTTCTTACACTGGGCTAGATTAATTGAAGACCTCTACGCGATGTTGTTCAGCTCACAGTCGAAAGTGCAGAAAAATTCGGATGGAAAAGTTATAAGAATTTTAACAACGGAGTATGTCTTACTGATTTGCGGTACTTTTTTCACTCAGTGTTTTAGATTCAGAGAGCGGCAGCGTAATGAACAGCAAGTCAGGCGACAACGAGAAGATTATGAACGACGTCGGCAAGTTACAAATTCAAGTCCAGATGCCGTTAGGAGCCAACTTGAAGCGGTGAGAATCGCTTTTTTCCTTGCGCTGTGAAGTTGTTTTCGTCTCAGCGAGTCATACTGTCAAATGACATGCATACCGTTACATTTGCCATGACTAATTGTTTATAGATAGATAACGCAATGCGTTCAAATTTTGCTGGTGGCACGCAAGCGAACGGCGAAGCCGAAGATGAACCGTTACCGGAGGGATGGGATATGCAAGTGAGTGTACAGACACCCGGTTACCGCGGACTTTGGCCTAGGATTTCCTGTTAAGATTGCGCCCAACGGCAGAACATTCTTTATTGACCATCGCACCAAAACTACCACCTGGCTGGATCCGAGAACGGGCACAGCAGCCAGTCGTCCGCAACCCGGAAGGACTGATGACGAAATCGGTGCGCTGCCGGAAGGATGGGAACAGAGGGTGAGCGCAGTCATGACGAATTTTTATGACTTTTTCCATCATTTTTGAATTTTACCGAAGGTAGTTTGTCTTATCAGCCTGATCATCGGCTGTGCACGACTTCTAGTAAACTGCACTTTCACTCAGTTCCCTCAGTTGCTAATGTATCGTAGTGTTACCACGCGCATAGCATGAACTTCTTGGGAAGGACTAGTCAAACTCCCAAGTCTTTTCCATTGTAGTTTGCAACAAAATTGCCTAGCTTGTATGCTTCTTTCTGAAGAAAGCGGTTTCCCGTAACGCTTTAGTCAGGCTGCTTCTTACAACCGAAGCGATTCGGGTGCGCTGCAAATAATGAATGTTTGTGCTAAATCTGATATGACCACTGAACTTTTTGAAAAGCTAATTAAATTTTGCAACTAGCACATTTGATGAATAATCTTTTTATTCCCTCAAAATCCGCAGCTTTTATTCAATAGGACTTGCTGTGCCTCTTGATCGTTCGGTTCAGACTCGTTTCCTCAAGCTTTGGATTTATTGTGTAAACATTGTTAAACATTTTGAAATGGATGACTGCCGGAAGGGTAGACTGTTGGCGCCAGTAAAAAGCAACAACATCTAAAATTTGGTCTCTTTCTAATAGTTGCCCAAAGCTCGCAGTATCACTACCCTGAGATGCAACTGATTGTATGAACATCATCTGTCATGAGTGTTGAAAATTTGAGAAATCGTCTGCGTCGAAAAGTTAGTCTGAGAAATTTTTTTAGGTCCACACTGATGGACGCGTGTTCTTCATCGATCACAATAACCGTAGAACGCAGTGGGAGGTGAGGTTCAATTTGATTTCGCATACTGTTTGCGGTAGAACAGGGAAGCGTTTGGCATGAGTATTTATCGAATTTGTATTCTGAATTAGAGTGTGGAAAACAGCCAAATTGAAAAGCTCACACTCCTCTTTGCCAAAGATCTAACGTTGGGGATGATAGATATTGATTTTGGCGATTACGTTATTTTTTTGCAAACGTAACTTTGTTTTGATCTGAAGTGTCAGAGTTCCAGTAAGGCTCTGTTGTTTTATGGTTTCCTTTTCCTAACCATGGAGTGTTTTTTTAGGATCCCCGATTCGAAAATGAAAGCATTGCCGGCCCTGCCATCCCTTACTCACGGGACTACAAAAGAAAGGTGTGCAATTTCTGTTTTTCTTTAAGCTCATTCATTATTTCTTGGTCGTGTCTGCTTCAGGTTGAATACTTGCATTCAAAATTACCCCGAGCTGGTTCAAATGGTAAATGTGACATGATTGTGCACAGGGAGACACTATTTGAGGATTCTTATCGACATATCATGGAAAAGGTAAGTCGTTCCTTAGTGTGTAAAGGTAGAGTTGTTTTACGATAACATCTTTTTGCAACAACGTTCTCTTTCATCATTAGAATATACCTGTGACACCATACTGAGTTGATCGAGGATCTTTTCCTTGTTATTTTGAACCATCTTATTTGATCAAACCGTCTCCCAATTCCTCTTTGTACGAAGTCGCAAAATTCAAAACGCTTACTCACTTTGAGTTGGAGTTGCATGTTTCTAGGCACCAACCGAGCTACGGCACAAATTATGGATCGAGTTCTTTGGGGAAACCGGATTGGATTACGGTGGAGTTACTCGTGAATGGTTTTTCCTGCTATCACATGAAATTTTCAATCCATATTATGGTCTTTTTGAGTACTCAGCGACGTGAGTATTTTTTTTTTGTTTCGAAATAAGTCTTTCCTATCTAATTAGTGTTTACTAGGTTTTGTAATTTTGTTTTTCCATTCCGAATAGCATCGTTTGTCACCGTAATCACTTCCAGAGATAACTACACTTTACAAATTAATCCGCATTCTGCTGCCTGCAATCCAGAGCATCTTTCATATTTCTATTTTATTGGCAAAGTCATGGGCATGGCCATCTATCACGGGAAATTATTAGACGGTAAGTTTATCAATACGTGCTTAATTTTGGTGTAAAAATATTGCACTTCACGCACTCTGTCTGTATCTTGCGAACTGAATTGTATCGTTTTTGCTCTGATTGTATCTATCATTCTTTTTTTTGTTTTATTAGCTTCGAGCACTCACGGTTTTATCTAACTTGTTCATGGTAGTTCTTGAGAACATTACATAAATGGTTATGGAAGTAGAAATCAAAATCACAAATGAACATAGTTAGTTCTATCATATCATTGCAGCTTTCTTCATTCGTCCTTTCTATAAGATGATGCTTGGGAAGAAAATCACACTATTTGATATGGAATCAGTGGATAATGCTTATTATAACTCATTAATCTACATAAAAGATAACGATCCAGAAGATCTCGAGCTGACATTTGCCGTTGACGATTGTGTTTTTGGAGAGGTAAATCATTTTCTAGTCAAGTTCTTATATCTTGTTGACTAGTTTGTGAGTGAACTACTTTCGAACCAGAAACTCCGTTCTATTGGTGATTTTTTGCATCAGAAAACTTGATCGCTATTCTAGACTCACACCACTGAATTGATTGAGAATGGCCGCGATGTTCGAGTGACGGAAGCGAATAAAGAAGAATACATTGAGGCAGTCGTAAATTGGCGTTTTGTTAAACGAGTCGAGAAGCAAATGGAGCAAATTTTAAGAGGGTTGCATGAGGTATATCTCAATCTCGTTAGGATTTTTATCAGTATTTTGTCTTCTTGGAACTTACAGGTGGTACCATCAAATTTGCTCCGAATATTCGATGCAAATGAAATGGAACTGCTCATGTGTGGCTTGCAGAAGATCGATGTTAAGGACTGGAAAGCTCACACAGTTTACAAAGGTGGATATGGACCAAGTAGTCAGGTTAGAGGATGATAGCCATCATTTGTTGTTCTTCTTTTTTACACAATGGTTAAGCAGTGAAATAGGGGTTTAGGTGATCCACAATTTTTGGAAGTGCATTTTATCGTTTGACAACGAAATGCGTGCACGTGTGCTACAATTCGTTTCGGGAACGTCACGGGTACCAATGAATGGATTCCGAGAGTTGTATGGTTAGCTTTCTTACATATTCGAGCTTCACAGATACAGATTTCATCTTAATTTCATATCCGCAATAATCTATGCTTTTTCACAGAATCTGTTCGACTATTATATCCAAGCTGTTATCATTTTAGGTTCGAATGGACCTCAGAAATTTACAATCGAAAGGTGGGGTAGCTCGGATATGTTGCCTCGGGCGCACACATGGTACTGTTGTTTCCATGTTCTCGCTAATCACTATACATCGTCACACACCCCTCTTTTCAGTTTCAACCGGCTCGATCTTCCGCCATACCAGACGTTTACGGAATTGAAGCAGAAATTATGTACAGCTATTGAAAACTCAGAAATCTTCAGCGGTGTAGACTGACGTCAACGCGACGACTGTCACAATGAAGAGCATGAATGAGATTATATGATTCCTAGTGTATTAAAAAAGCAGTGATGTACAGAATGTTCAGCACTCAAATGAATATTTACGCGGTACATGTTGTGATGAGAGAAATAAAACTGGTCCAACTTGTGCGAATATCGAAATTAAAGATTCTATGACAGACTTCTCCCGTGGATTTGTGAATAAAAAAGCATGATAAAGGCTGTATTTTTGTGTCGTGATGGAAAACAGATTCTTCATTCTATACGACATAACCTGATATCACATTTGACAGGAATGTATTCGTATAAAAACTCTGTAATATAGTAAGATATAGCATTTACAAGTAACTGGTTCATGCCAACTTGAGGGTTCCTCTTTGTTAGCAACATAAAACAGTTTCTCTGTACCATCGATAGACGTAGTAGAGTAGAAGTACAAGTATCATCTAAAAACGACTTATGCCTGTTGTGAAGGATTCGGATGGCGTACTGGGATAACGCAATCAACTTACTATCCCGCCACAGCTACCAATAAGATCGAGAAATGGATGCTCCGATAGGTAGGCATCGAGTACTTCTTCAGCCTGAAAATAACCATCTCTTGTTTGATGTCAGCGGTACATCACTTATAAAGTGGGTATGGAGCGTATGTGGAGCAAACCTTGCATCACTTGGAGCCATCGCGCTACAACTCTCGCAAATATGCACTAGATTTGGTGGTCATGAGTTTTTAAACCTCATGATCCAATGTCACCTATCTACTTCGCAAAGTAAAAAGGTGTAATCTGCATCGTAATACCAATGAAGACACTGATAAGTATCTGAGATAAAGGGACTCGAAACCGTTTTGCGCACATTGTTGAACAAACTTCAAGTGTGTAACAGGGGTTTGTATTTGTAATCTACCACTTCTTCGTTATCACTACTTAAAGGCAGTGGTTCGGGAAGATCACAACGATGTGTGTTTGTTGCGGATGTCCGGCGGGACCTCCCACTTCCGACAACATATAGTTCCCTACCCCGCGCTTTCTGTTCCTCTTATTGTTAGACCACAGTTGTGCTTGAATAGTCAGAAATTGCTTATGGCATTTTCCGGCCCTGGAGCTTCCTGAGTAGGCTGGAGCGGAGAATCCCGCCAAAAACAGTAACTGGCTGCAGAAAACTGTAACACCACTCATTGGGGCGGCAACTAGATGATCGCTCAGGCAGCCAATCGCGGCTGGGCTGCGGGAACCTCCGCTCCAGCACCCTCAGCAATCTCCAAGGCCGGAGAACGTCACAGAAAGCACTTTTTTGACTTTTCGAGCATAGCTCTGATCTATATGCATCCTGAAGGCCAAGGAGGAACAAAAAGCGCGCAGTTACATTTTCCTCAAGCCAGTGCCTTTAAAATCAGCGAAGAACAACTTCAAGGAATGTCCAGACAATGTGTGCGCGGTTCTGAGTGTCTTGGTCGCAGAACAGATGTTTATTTATTTATTTATTTAATACGCACAAGGCGTGCCACAGAACTGAGTTGAAATCTGCATCGGTTTGAGTATAGCTGAGTGCAAACAAAAGATACAAATCACAATGCGTGTGATTTGCCGGCACTGCCTTATGATTAAAAAAAGATAAGGTAGAAAGAACTTCGAGCTATCAAGAAGCAAATATAACCAACTACACACGGGTGATTTATCCATGCTTGTCGATGCATCCTTCGAGTTTTTCTTGCACAAGCTGGTCTGCGTAGTGATGGTGCAGCTGCTAACTTTCACAGCCTGATTCAATTCATCTTCACTCCCATTCTCGAACAAGTGATTCTTTTTCTTTGCTCGCTGGAAGGAAAATCTTTGCTAGTGCATGAGCACATAGTAAGGAATATAACAACTGAATAGCAGCTAAGAATGTCACAATTCTCACCATGGTTTTGGAAGGTGATATCCTTTGGTCCCACACAATATTTTTCTCTTCGTTGTTGAGGCCGCCATCCTGATGATATTTTAAGTAGTAATACAAAGCACAGTCATCAGAAAATATGATAATGTAATCAATGAGAAATGAATGCCTGAACTCTTTCTTACATCAAATAATAAAGGACTAGGTGATGAAGTCGAACACCATCTGGAGCGAAAACATCGGGCAGACGTCTTTTTGTCGGGCCACACCTGTAATTTCGGCACATGTGGGTCGGAGCTTGAGTATGATAGTTAAAGCTATAGTATGATTGTTAAATCCTACCACCAACGGTGAAGCTTCGTAAACAAACGAACAGTTGTGATCCATTTTGTTGACGATAAGTCACCTGAAAACCTATACAATTTCCCATTCAACTCGCTTCAGACTTTTCGCTCACGAAAACGCACACAAAAAGTCTACAACAAAGAACTTCACAAAAAAACGATTTTTAACACTGTAAATTTGCTATTGGCGCCTCAGACACTCGCACCGACCGGCGACCGTCCGACGACAGCCTTCCGGCTGGCGAGCGCGCCACGAACGGCTGAGACGATCACGCTGTCCCGCCAGACGGTCGTCGGACGGTCGCCGGCCGGTGCGAATTTCTGACCGGCTGGCGTCCGGCCCGCGACCGGCTCGGCCGAAATATCGGTGATGTTCCAGACGCTCGTCGGACGGTCGCCAGCCGGTGCGAGTGTCTGAGGCGCTAGATGCATATTGGGTTCCTCTACGTAACGTACCGAATGTGACGGCTGACACCGTATCCCAACCTTGCTGAAAACTTCTGAACTGGAGGAAAGGTCGAGGACTAACATATCGCCGAATGTGGGAGGGACCTGCGCGGACTTCTCACGAAAATGCACCCCCATGCTTGTGCAAGGGCGCGTATTTGTTGCAGATGACCGGGGGTTGCCCCTTTTCGGCGACGTATAGCCCTCTACCCCTGGAGAAATGGTCCGGAAGTGAGAAGACTCGTTAACGTATGCGGTGCGCCCTGTACGAATCTGGGAGCCGATCATTCTTACCGCAACATGCTCTAGAAATCATGCTGATTCCAAGGATTCGCATTGGGAGCGTGGAAACTATCGATTGTTTATAGTAGCATGCGCGCGCCGCTGAGGGAAAAATACGTACGGGTGAGACCACTTAGTTAGCGTAAGTCCCAACCCCCAAACAAATTCCTCCCTTACACATGTGCCTCCGCACTAGCACGTTGCGTGGCTGAAGGCTTCCACTTTCACATGGCAAGTAATATCCTAGAATTGAGGTCTACTAAGGCCTCGGGCAGAGTTCACGCGATTTCATCGTCGCGATTCATCGCGACAAGACAAGTTCATTGCATGCTGATCTTCTTGTGCTTCGGTTGTGATAGTTAGTCACGATTAGTCCTGCTGGAAAACTATATCAAAACCGAAATGCTAGAAGATAAGCATGCAATGATATCGTTACATTTATCTTGTCGCGATCAATCGTGACAAGATGAAATGGCGTGAACTCTGCCCGAGGCCTAAGGCGGTTGACACTTAGAAGCGGAACCGGAAACGCAGTTCCTTATATCAGGTCTGAGATCGAAAACGTCCAAAAAGTTCCTTGTTCTCCAAATCCATTCAACTTTACGATCACCGAATAAAAAGATATTTCTTCATGAAATCTATTTTCCTCAAAAGATGATTAATAGGTTTTTGAAAATCAACAAAGAATTCTGAGTTGGTTAGGGGTTTGTACTTCAGTCTAATTCTTTCAGTTTCACTCAGCAAAGGATACGGTATTACTCATAAGAGAACTCAAATTTCCATTTTTTCGGAGGTTCCACATGGTTATTAAGAGTGACGGATGAATTTGTCAACATACTACGATCGGAAATTTTCATTATCGAGAATATTTCCATCTCTTTTTTCTGATAGTTTAAAAATCACATTTGCTTTCTTCGAAAAGTGACTCTTGCCACCTTTTAGCCTGAAGAAAACCTTTTTCTTGCGTCTTTCTGCGAGTATTTGTATTTTACAAAATTCTCGGTGCTGCGTGATTTTTGACGGCTTATTTTTCACTGATACATTTCTTTCACTCATTCCACCTGGTTTTTTATGTGGGATAGCAAATAGCAATTTTTTTTTAAAAACTGGCGAAGTATTGATTGTTGAAGTGATTGGGCTATTATCAGTTCTGTATGTGGGTCGAAATCTTTTGTGTATTTGACGAGTTAAAACTTGTTACAACGTGTGCTTAGCGTTTTCGAGTATGCCAGTCGCATAATAGCTGATAGTTACCTTTTCTTAGGATAGATCTTATATTAGGACCTTTTGCTTTATTTCCAGTCGATTGCTTGAGAAATCATGATCCCTGATCTGTGATGCTAACAAAAAAGAATTTGGTCACGTATCACAGATCAGCGGGATTGGAATCAAACCGGTTTATAGGTTTTCTTGACGCCGGCTAGAGTGAATTGGTCTGATTATCTTGCTATCGTCTGCTACTTAACTAAAATATCTTTGCCCTTCTACCGATTTCTGAATAATTTGATTCATTCATCCAAATTCCATTTCAGAGTCAGTGATGACACTAAAACATCATAGCAATGCTGATGAACTAAAGGAATTCATGAATAAATACGACAAAAATCCATTCTTTCATCCGTTTTGGCATGCCATAAAGTTCACTTTGGAGGGAGTCTTCCCTACCATTGAATTATCATTGTACTCATACGAGATGGGCACTTTCGAGTTATTGATTGCTTACAATAAGAACAAGCTTACAGAGTGAGTTTTTTTGTACTACATGGTCCAGTTGTCATCCATCCCATACTAGGATGCGCGAGAACGCTTTGCATACTCTGAATTAACGCGTTCATACTTGTGTTTAAACGCGTTTCGTATAATTCATACACATTGAAATTTTAATCAAAAATGTAAGAATATTAGGTTGTCTCATAAGTTTTTTCAATTTTGACTATTTACCGCAATAAGTCCCATACTTTTGAATTCTGATTAGAATGCAGGGTACAGTTCGATAGAGCAAAGCAAGCTTTATAAGATGGAGTGTATGCGCTCACACCAGCTTCAGCACATCACGAATTGGAAGCCTAAATCTGACAACTTATGGATGCCTGGAAAATTGAAAATTTCTTATATCTTCGTTCAAAAAAGACTTGTCAGATCCTGAACTTGCTCACACATATACACTCCACATAAGACATTTGTATATGTTGTTGCTGTGTTTGTTTCTATGCTAGAAAACCGAGAAAACTGAAGTTTCCAAGTTCCAAAAAAGCGATGATGCACTGTGGTCACATACGTAGTTGTATACTACAGGCCTTTGGAAATACAGCGGCAAATTTTCAGCTCCCTGGAAGCGCTAGCTCTCGAGAAATATTAGAGTCAACATAAAATACACTCGCAAAATTAGTAAAATTCAATATTTCTTGGGAATTAACGCTTTTAGGAGCCTTAAGATTTACCGGTGTATTCCTGAAGGCCCGTAGTATACACCTACGTATGTGACAACAGTGCATCATCGCTTTTTTGAAAGCTTGAAAATTTCAGTTTTCTCGGTTTCTAGCACAGAAACAAACACAGCAACGGCATATATGAATGTCTTATGTGGAATGTATATGTGTGAGCATGTTTAGGATCTGAGAAGTCTTTTTTGAATGAAGATATAAAAAATTTTCAATTTTCAAGCATCCGGAATTGTCAGATTTCGGCTTTTAATTCGTGTTGTGCTGAAGCTGGTGTGAGCGCTACACGCCATCTTATAGAGCTTGCTTTGTTTTATCGAACGGTGCATTCTAATCAGAATTCAGAAGTATGGGACTTAATGCGGTAAAAAGTCAAAATGAAAAAAACTTATGAGACAACCTAATAGAATGCATCAACAGCTCATTTGATGCCATTTTACTGTTTTGAAAACAATGTATACTGTTTTGACGTCTCTCCTTCTTAGTGACTACATCATGCTATTCTGTGATGGTGAGCTGAATGGTGAACACTTCAAAAGAGCTATGGCTGAGTTTTTTCGACTACGACCTCTGGATAAACGAATCGTTGTTGTGGGAGAAGAACGCATTGCTAACATGGTAAGATATATGAATCCGTTGTTGACGCAGACAAGGTGTGAAGCTCGACCACTGCTGCGGCGCGTCCTATTTGCTATCTTCCGTGCTGGTGTAGATGGTAGCAAGAGCTAGCAATGTCAGCGTCTGCGTCCATTTTAAATAGTTCTCTTATTCAAAGAAAGAAAGACTGGACTGCTTCCAGCTGTCAACCTATATTACTGAAAACGCCAGCCCTTTTCGGATAGTATTATATCCCTGTAGGATGTTTTATATGAATGAATCTCAAATGGAAGCTGTACGAGAACTGAAAGTGCCCGAACTACCGCACGGATATGAACTAGGTGAGTAGAAATAGCTTTGACGATATATAAGAATGATCTCATGTGTGTCACCAGGTTCCGCGGATCCTGACAAAGATGCTGAAATTATTACTAAAACCTGGAGGCATGCCAGAGCAAATGAAATGCCGCAGACTAAGTAAGAGAAGTTTATTTTTTGTTTCCTCTAAGGTTAGCATTGTTTAATGCTATTGCCAAACATCAGCAAGCACAATATAGGGCTAGTATTGGTGTCATCAATGTTTCAGACTTGAAGACACTTGCTTATTATTAGGGCATCCCAAAAGTTTTTTCATATCAGACTTTTCCCAGCATAAGTCTGCTCTTCTTAGACTTCTGATGAGAAGCGGAGTACCATTCGAAAGAGTAAGCAAGCTCTACAATATGACTCTCAAAAGTTCGTACCGGGCTTGATCTGCGTCGAGTTTTAAGACAAAATGGAAAAAATCCAAAATTCCGAAAAAACAGAAAAAATCATATCATAGTTTAAAAACATTCTGCAAAGTTCCCACTTCTCAGACAATTATTGCGACCACCCGCGGAAGGGCCCGCACCGACGTTTCATCCATGCCGCGGGTGGTAGAGTAAACGCACGCTAGCAGCCGAGAGTTACCCGCGGATGCGCCGGTAAGCGCTCGAAGGACGCCCGCGGATGTCCAGACAAGCACCCGACTGATGCGCGATATGCATCCGCGGGTGGCCCGATACGCAGTTGCTAAACGCAGTTCAATGTACATTTATTCCATTTTTTGAACATCTGTTCATTTTCCGCGCCTTGGCACATGGGTTAGGGTATGTATCAAAATTTGTCTTCCCTCGTAGGGCCCCGATTCCAACTTCAAGAAACCCCGGGGGATGATACCTCAGCAGACCGTCTTTACTACACTTACCAAGAAACGATAGAGAACAGCACAAACGTTGAGGGTACCTCTATCAGCGCGGCGTATCTCACGCGAGTAACGTTTTTGCTTACAGCATGTAAGAATTGCGGCGTCCGGCAAGGCCCGCGGCTGGTCAGACTGATTCTGTTGAGCCGTTGCCTAGAAGGGCCGGGGCCTGCCCGAAAATGAGGTCCGTGGCCCGCCCGAGTGTATTTTCCCGGGCCGCGGGTGTCCCGGTAGAAGAATTAAAACCCGCGGCCTTTAACTAGCGAGAACATTGAGCCGCGGGTCGCCAAGCAAGTGAATTAAGGGCCGCGGATGGTCAGTATTAAAATTCAACGCCCGCGCGCCACAAAAAGGCACGATTAAGGGCCGCGGATGCTCGTAATAATTGTCTGAGTTGCTCACGCATATAATTTCCCCATCAGACATTTATATATACACTTGCTGCATTTTTCTGACGGCTAGAAATCGAGAAAAAGATAAAGCGCTTAATTTTTAAACTTTGCTAGTAAAGAGTCTATGTTCCTCGCAAATGTGTCATTATATAGCTTATTCACTCAAGAATACTTCCACAAATTTGCACCCTTCTAGATGCCTTAGTTTTAGAGAAGTATCATTTTGAAGGTACGAATATGAGAAAACTTTTGGGATGGTGAGATAATAATAAGGTGGGCCGTGAAACTGTTATGGTCAATAGAAAAACTAATAAAATGAAGTCAAATGTTAATCATTAAATATTAAATCAAATATTTATTATTGATAAAATTAGTACAGGTGAGGAGAAAAGGGTATTGTAGTGGAGGTCCGAGATTTTTTTCGGGAAGGGGAGAAGTGTGGCGCGACAGATTTTTGCATGAAAGATAGTAGCATCAGAGGCGCTTTTCGAAAGACGTGATTGCGTTCCAATTTTTTTTGCGGATTGACTCACATAGGTAATTCGAAGTTTCTGTAATACCAAAATTATCTAGATCATTTTCAAACAAAATTAGTCACTTACAATTCTATAACTCCTGTAGGCTATTTTTTGAAAGTCAGTAGTTGATTCACAAGCCACTCAGACAGTTGAAGATACCTCCGGAGGGCAAATGGCGGGGGTCTGCCACTTCATTGCTCCGGAGCCCTCCCATTTCACGCGTTTTGCTGCTCCGGGGCTCCTCCAAATCTGGCGCACTCCCGGAGCAGAGATTTGCGAGCACCGGGGAAGGGTCCCATTCGCCTTCTTGTGACGTCACGGTGACGTCACAAGAAGGCGAAATGGGAAAAATGGGATCCTCCCCGGTGCTCGCTCGCTGCAGCTTGCTAGGCAATAATCGCAGTAGAACAGAGATAGGGTCACCCGATCATAGAGAGGGAAGACCTTCTTCTGTCTCGAAAACTGAAGCTGGACTCTGGGTATTTTCGTACCTTCAGGAAAAAGCTTGCGCATTATTATATTTGGAGTAAGTAATTACTGTGTCGATGAGAAACTGTGAACCTATTTTTATTATGATTTAGAATACGTAAGATTCAGCGAGGGTTGTGAGATTAGACTTAGGCTGAATAATTTTTCGTTACTCTCTTGTGAATCTATGCCATTGGTAATCATAGTGAATGTGACTTCTTCTAAAGTGTTAACGAAAAATGAAATCGATTTTTATCTGCTTGTTGTGGCCCACAACCAGGCGAATTCAAGAACGTGTGAGTGTACTGTCCCACAGAGCAAAGCAAGCTCTACAAATGATATTGATTACGCCCCACTGTTGTTCCACGTGAAGTTAACAATTAAAATCTAGAGAGTATTAAATGTCAGAAAAATCGAAATAATCGTATCTTTTTCTAAAAACCTCACAAGGACCTCCTACTTGCACATATCTGTACTATCGACATCAGTCATAAATACAGCGTTGTATTTTTTCTTGACTAGATACTAAAATCGATAATTCTAATTTTTTTCAAAGCAACGCTGAGCCGTCATAAGTGATCCTATACGCTCAAACATTTGTCAATATAATCGTAAATTTTTAAAAACGAGAATTTTCGGTTTTAGCAGGAAAAGTCGAAAATTAGTGCTCAGGAAGGCTAGGAATTTACAGTCATGTTTACAAATGCTTGCAGTATAGAATTACTTATGTCAGATCGGCCCACATGACTTTGAAAATCATGAAGATTTTCAATTTCATGTTTCTAATCAAGGGAAAAATATAGGAACTGTATATATGATGTCCTGATATCGATAGTATAGATGCGAGGAAGAGGCCTGTAGGAATTTTTCGGACGAGATCCGACTTTTTCCGGTTTTCTGGGCACATTTGGAGTTTTGTGGATATTGATTTTTAACTTTAGTGAAACAACCTTGAAGCGGAAGCAGCAATACTACTTTGTAGAGCTTGCTTTGTTCTATCGAACAGAACCCCCCCCCCCCCCATGCGTTATTGGACTTCGCTTGATTGCGGTGCCATAGCAAGCAAATAAGTATGACATTTTTTCTTGACAACCTGATAATAGCCTTGCAAACGACTTTTTAATCTTATCGTGATTTCAAAGCATATATGTACCAGACATTTTGAGGTTATTCTTCATAAATGTTTTAATCATGTATCCTTGTAAGTTAGCTTACATTGAACGTTTTCAGAGCGAAACTGACAAATCTACCCTCATCATGCGTTCGATATGAGGGCGAACCTGTAGGTTTCGAAATGATGGATGCAGCAGGTCTGCTCAATCATCTATTCGTGCTCGAGGAACATCGCAGAAAAGGACTGGGTACTATCATCGAACTCGACTTGGCAAAGAAGATCATCAAGTAACCGAATTCCATAGACTGTTTCATTTTCCTTAGTAAATTCTTTTTGCAGCAATGGATGTAAGGTATACAAGTGCGTTGAGTTGTACAATAAATCAGTGCTGACTGGAAGTGAACGTTCGCCATATTGGAGCAGCATCAAAGATGACGCAGGAAACGATGTTCTAGTCGTGTTTGCTGTTGTTTATAAGGAAGAATAAGATGTCTGAGAACAACTTTTCGTAAGTGTTGATTTTTATCGTAAATATGTCAATCCGTCCATGTCGAAGTCGTATGATGTTCCCATAAACATGGAAGTTCCATGTGAGCTTCCTCTTCCCGTATCTATTCTATTTCTGTGATCTCGTGTTTCGGACAATACGAGCGGATTGATATAGCGAACTTTCTGATAGGGGTTACCCCGGGGGGTGTTCTTCTGAAAATAAGATGCTGCATTTATTAGAAAAGCGGATCGATCGAAGTATTATTTGCCTCGGAACTATCAAATCTTCCTGAACGCTCTCCCGTTTTCATTTTCTTTGTAGGGCATTGTTTCTTAGAATCGACCATGAAATTTATGACTTCGAAAAGCTGGAAATTATTTAGAGTCAGAGGGAACGCGTAATTAACTTCGTAACTCACAGCCGGATTTTGAAGTTTGATTTTTTTTAATGCATAGTGTTTCTCCACTGCAGTCTGATATGGGTATTCCATGATCTTCCAATATTCTTGCAAGCCTCTTGGCAATTCTTCGGCAATTTTCTGTGTTTTCGCTTTCATCTGCCTTAGCTTAGCATCTGATGCTTCAATGTAGTCCTCCATTTCACCCTGAAATCGTATCTGCAACTGAATCACTTGATTGAAGTGAGCTCGTACCAGGACTCTGTTTCTCGAGGCTAAGTCGCGAAGAGCCTGTTTCTGCTGACCGACGGTCATACTAAGGCTTTTTGTGATTTTTATAAATTCGGGAGAAGAGCGCAAGTTTCGGAATGTTTGCGAATACTGGTCGGCCCTCCAGGTCTTGTAGCGAGACGATCTTCTGCATCTTGCTATTATGAACAAAGCTAAGAAGGCAATCAGTCGCATTCTGAAAATACGTTTAGAAGACTAGCATAGCAAAGTCATCCAAGCAGGTGTTGCCCATTTTTTAGATCAATAAATTCCAAGAATGGCACAGACTTTGTGTAGTGAGGATATGAAAAACCATATTTACATCCTTTCTCCGCACGTGTTTTCGTATTTTTTATCATTGGAGTCTTCAGAGAACTCCAAAACAAAACAGCGTCATAATTTATGCAAATAGTTTCATTGCATAAACGTCAACAAAAAATCGACGCCATTTACAAAACCGCTCGTAATTTGTCAAAAAAGTCATCGAACTCCACCGGTGCTCACCAAAATACGCGTCGCATCGCCACATCGTGGTTCAGAGTGGACGAATTTTCAATCCAAGGACATGTTCGAGTTTCGAGGTCCAGCTTCACAAGCCGCATCCTCTAATTCACAAAGTGCCCGTTTGGATACGGTAGATGCACGGCAAGCAGTCATCAAGTATCTAGATTTTTGCTAACAGTAGCACAGTGTGTTTATTCAATGACACTAAGTACCGAAGGCAAAAATTTGTGAAGGACTGCCTACCGTATCCAAACAGGCACTTCTATTCATCAGAATATGCACTCGCCGGGTTAAGTCGAAGGTGCCCTTGGCTTCGGAATCCGTTCACTCTGAACCAAGATATGGCCATGACGCGGATTTCGGTGATATTTTTTGACGAACTATGAGCGTTATTATATTCTCGGACTATCTGCCGATTATCCTTATCGAAAACGCCTCAACATGCTGGTCAGTTTGTGCTGGAGACATCCGAAATGGTGTAATCGACCTTGTAAGATCAACTGCATAGCCTTGACTTCATTTAACTTGCTAATAGAGTGCGCTGCTCTCGCAAAGACGGCTTTCTGACCGCTTTGGAAGCGATGATGGATTATAGATACCATATGTCGTAATTCTCAAGTTGAGATAATATGTTGAGTTCACAAATTGCGGGAAACCTAAGCAAACGGTGCCCGAAGAGCGGAAGAAGGTTCAGAATGTATGTAAATGAGAACAATCTAATTTAGAACGATTAAGAACACTACATAACCTGATAATGATATAATGTGCAGAAAGCCCAGTCTGCCTGAAATGGCCGTTAAGAAAAGCGCACATCTGTAAATACAAAGTAAGTCGTTTAGCACATTCTCTTCGATCAATCTCGTGAATATTTGAGCAGTTCCATTCATGATCAATATGTAAGTCGCTTGCCTACAATTGAATTCATGTCTTCTACCATTTATGTGGGACATCGTTAGATGTGCCGCGATCTTGAAGTTGGTGATGAAGTCAGTGGACTGAGGCAGGACCCGGCACAGCTGGCACTGAGTCAAGCTGGATATTGTTTTTGGGGGCGGAAAGCAAAAGGGATATCGTTTTTGCGGGTTAGCATGCCCCTGTTTCGCTAAAATGCCACTCGTATGCCAACGGTATGCCGTCGGTATGCCGCCGTCATGCTGGTGCTAACACAGCGCGGCCTTGTTCACAAACAAAACGCAACCATATGACACCAAATTTGGTGTGTACATGCGCGTTGGAGGACCCGGACCATGGCCCAAAAATTTATAAAAAACCTATGTGAATGAAAGGTGTGCTGAACTTTTTTCTGAATTAGCTGGCACCGACCCTTCACATAAGTCTTCATACTCTTTTACAGAGGTTGTATCTACATTGTAAAAGTTTACGTGCAGAGAAAAAGCGATTTCATAATGTTTTATTTTGGGCGTTTTATAGCCATCTGAAAATTTCTCGACCTGCCCCGCGGTCGAATAATCTGCTCCAATCACTAAGCAAATGCAGCGCGAATTCCGTCGATTTCGTTTCATCACTTGGTCAGATTCATTATTTGTCGTCCTATTATTCTTGTATTGTTTGTTTTTGTATTGGTTTTCGTACTGTTGTGTTTGTTTCGTTTCAGATAAACGGAATCTTGCAGTTCCTTCCGTTTTTTAGACGACGTTTCGCCCTATCCTTCTGAGGCTTTTTTGTGTTTAGGGTTTAGGGTCAAAGGGGACTTCGTATTGAAATTGGCCTGGTGCCGGCTCCTGCCCAGCCCTGGACTGGGATGCGAAAGCCTTACGGTTGATGGAAAATTTCCTTAAACCTCCGCTTTGCGCACGAAATCGTCCCCTTCAAGCAAACACTGAAGCAGAGACGATGTTGAAGTAACTGAACGAAATAGGGGAGCAACACGGACGGGAATAAATAGAAAGAGACTCAGTCCTTGAACAAGGACCTTTGCGAAGATTTGAAAATGGGAATAGAAGATACTTCCATCCCTGCGAAGTATTCTTATATGTACCTTGCACGTTTGATGTACATGGAGAACAACATGAGGGAAGAACTTTACAGGGGAAGAGCTGACTTGGCCGCGTTCGGGCCTTTCAAGAGCACCGACCAGCTGACGTACCTGAAGCTTTGAGCCCGTCTGTTTTCAGATCGATTATGTATTCGTCTTTGCCACACAGCTCAGACTTGGGACGACACTGCAGCCACGTCCGAAAGCTCTACGGACCCGCACAGAGTGCTAGAGCGCAGTCTAAGATAACCCGAACGTGCATCATCGAACTCCGCTATACGGATAAGAGAAGGGTTACACCTTACTGACGGACATGTTGCAATAGCAAACCGATGGGTCGCTCACTTTCTAAGGAGAACAGGTGACAGATGGCCATTGAAACATCAGAAAATTTCTCGCAAAGCATGTCCTCCAGGAAGACCAACGGACAGACGTCTTCGTGGAACGGCTGTCAGCTGAAAAGTCAGCTCAATACGCCCCTCGCACCTGAAACTCATGGACACAGCCACCGACAGCAACCAAGAATGCGTGGATGTCTGAAGCAAGAGACAGGGATCACTGGAAACTTTTGTGTAGGGGCCTGTTGGGGTCCCGCACATTACGTGAAAGCGAGCTATCTAAGCAGTAAGTAAGTGTAAGACACACAAGGCCAACACATCATAACAAATCAGTATGAATGATGCCGCAAATGTACAAATAGCCAGCATGTTTATGACCAAGGGAATGCGAAGAATGATTTTTTTTTGTTGGGTCTTAGTTCATGTTAGATCAGATTTCACCACTTCATTGAACCTTGTTTTACCCGTTGCCATCCGGTATTTGGCGTTCACATTCAAACTTTACGCGTTGATTTGGGTTCGGTTCCGTTTTACTTCCGTTGATGTTTGGGATAGCCTTTTTGGCTTGAAACTTTCTGCATTGGGCAATCTCTTCTCTCGAAGTTCTGGTCGCTCACCAGAAATTGGTTGGGTGGGATATACATCATTACTAACAGTACACTATACTTGGGGAAATTCGAAATTTTTTTCGAATATTTGAATATCGAATATATTCGAAAATTGAAAATTTCGAATATTCGAATATCGAATAATATTCGAAAATCGAAATTGTCGAATATTCGACTATCGAATATTTTTCGAAAATGAAGATTTTCGAATATTCGACTATCGAATATATTCGAAAACTGAAAATTACGAATATTCGACTTTCGAATTTTATTCGAAATCTCAAATTTTCGAATATTCGACTTTTCGAACCATTCGCATTCGAATGATTCATTCGAATGATCGAATAATTATTCGATTCGGTCCCAAGTATACAGTACACCTGCTTCCAACACATATAGCTGCTTATGTTTGAATAAGGTTTCGCTAAGAGCAGGGGCATGAGGACAGACTCTATTGAACCTATACCTGTGATGACTTCACACTCGCGAAGCAAGCTCAATCTAGCAGATTCAGCGAGGTGTTTGCCTGTTTTTGTTTGTTTGTTGCTAGTTGTCTTGTTTGATGCTTCGTTTTTGTGTCGCATGGGCACGCTTTGTACGTATAAAATAAATGAATAAATAAGTTCATGAGAGTTTTGTAAACACACTCAAAAATCTCATTCCTTTTTGATTTTTTCTTTGCTTTTAAACGCACAAATGCAAACTTGAATTAGTTTGAATTTATTTTGGCTCAAAAATGCTACAGTCATTTTTGATCCGTAGTAGGCGAAACATTCCCATGGAACAGCGTGTCCGCACCGCCATTGGCTCAGCATAGATTAGAATGAAGAGACGCAGACTGCAAAGCGGCGTTAATTGTTGCGAAGCGGGCTCTCACCAGTCCAGTTTCCGCCTAAACTGAGTTGGATCTTACTATTAGGTTGTTCCGAAAGTTCTGTCCTACCATTTTCAAAAAATCATAACTTCTGTCTAACACACTGTTTTTGCAAGAGTAAAACCATATTGAAAAGAATAATTCATGCGCTTTCTAATGCTCCCTTGGCTGCTATCTACTAAGCTCTGAATGCAGGATAAAATTGAGAAAAGGAAATCACTTCAAGTTCGGAATTTTCAAGCAAGCCCGTTAAAAAAATCGAAAACTGTGCCATAAAATCCAGAACCAGTATCTTAGACTTTTTGGCCCATTCTTTCCAGCTGAGCAAAATTCACACTGATCGAGCTGTCGCTTCAAAAGTTATGATTTTTTGAATAAAATTGTCAAAAAATCAATTTTCTTAACAGATTGATTTTTTGGCATTTCTTCTTGAAAAACATAACTTTTCTAGGAAGGGCTCCATCAGCGCGAATTTTGCTTATATAGAAAGAGGGGATCAGAAAACCTAGGTTACTAGCTGTTTTGGATTTTACGGCACAGTTGTGGATTTTTTAAAGGGCTTGCTTAAAAATTCCGAAATTGAAGTGATTTCGTTTTCGTAATTTTATCTCTGTTTTCAGAGCTTAGTAGATAGCAACCAAGATGTTTCTAGAAAAAGCATGAATTGCTGCTTTCAATATGGTTTTAATTTTGCGAAAACATTGCGCTAGAAAGAAGAAGTTATAATTTGAAAGTTTCGCTTTCTTTAAACCTGGGCATGATTCGTATAGTAGAAGTACTTCTGTGCCAAACAGGTTTGTTAGGTGTTCCTTTATTTCCAATCGCGGCCTAACGTTTCGACGCCTTTCGTCTTCCTCAGAGGCCTGAAAATGGCTCAAAGTGTTACCCGAGAAACGAGGCCATCAAGTACCATCTCCATTCCTGCCAGTTCTCAACCTTCGTTCAACATTCCTACCGCAAAAATTGCTATGCCAGAAGATGAATATACCCTGTGAACACCGCTACTTGGGTTCCGCACCGGAAATGATGGTCTTGGCGGATAGAATGGACTATACCATAAAAGCACATAAGTGATCTACAGTCTGCATAGAGATATGAAGGGTAGGAAGTCCGTGGTAATTGACAAACACTCATTTTTATTGTTCATTGCTGGATTCTTCGCAGAAATCCAGAATGCTTCTAACGCCTTCCTCGCCGGGTTTCCTTTTCGTGTGCCAAGATTTGGCATTTGATATCAAAATCGTCTCCGCCATGCGAATCGTGGCTATGTTTACCCAGAGGTGAAAACAATGTTTTACGCCTTTTATCTGCAAGATGTTCTTTTACGCGAGTACTAAGTGTTCTGCCAGTTTCTCCGATATAGATGGCATTGCAGCTAAGACATTCTAACTGATAAACCACTCCCATTTGTGCACAATCACCTATTTTGCCGTGCGGACAGACTACGCATCGATTTGTTATACAGTATCGATCGTAAAGTCTGTTTCGAACTAACTGCGTTTTGATATTGTCACCTGGGATGTCGACTAAAACAATATCGTTTAGCAGTTGTGCACGTGAAATGCATTTTCGAAATGCCGCACTGATGTTATCGGAAATAAATGGAAGGCACAGTGGGAGCTTATTATCACGGATTTTGTTACCATTCGCCTGATGTTGATCATGTGGCAAGGAATGATAACCATTGCTGCAAGCAATCTTGGAGGCCAGATCTCGCGACTGCATCGTTCTCTTTCCCCGGAGCACATCTGCATAGCCGTTTCAAACATATTCTTGATCACCGCTCTTTTCGTAGATGCAGGATGCGCTGATTTCACATTCAAAAGGATGTTCTTCGAGTTTTCTTTGCGGTACCATTTCATGCTAACAATACCATTGAATAATCTTACTTGCGCGTTGAGGTAAGGCAGCCATCCATCGTATGGTGTTTCTCGTGTGAGCTTTATGTACTGCGACTGCTGGTTCAAAATTTCGAAACACTTGTCCATT